TGGCCTTATATTGTCACAGAAATTGTAAGGCGAATTCTCTGGGGACATATTCGTAAACTGAGCCCTGGTTCGAGGGTCTAGTTAGATTCGGATACGAAATCCAATCGTCGTGCTCCTACAGCCTCATATTTCCGTCTATGAGCGCTGCTCAAGGAAGGATATCAAACAATGACACTAATATTTTATGATAGAAATCTATCAGCGCATGTCACACGTGCATTGGAGATAGGGCTTTGTTGTAAGTAAAAACTGAATCTAGTATATCTGCGTATCTAATAGGTGTATTAATGTGTTACATTCAGCATCCTATTACCATGGAATCCCGAATACCGTCATGTATATATGTATTTATAGGGCCACTGAGGTAAAAATATGATACTTCTGGAATGTTAAAATATAACCTTCCATTTACAAAGCAAGCTCGTGGGCTATTTAGCTACTGGGAATGTAGGATTATTTTTGCCTACAGATTTAGTCCTTCCTCAATACTGACGACACAGAGTCTTGGCTTAGCTATAGTTAAAAACAGAATGACTTGACTTAAACTTTATCCGTTTCTAAAACATAAAATCAATCGTACAATTACACCAAGAAAAATATTCATATCCACTGTCATTCAAAAAAGGACAAAAACGTATCGAACAGTATTGCGGGAACGGGGAAAATGAACAGTTAATTAATTACATGTACACACAAATAAAGAGACAGACAACAAAGAACACTCAAAGTCACATCACATGGTGTGAGTTACATTAGATTAACCAATAATCGCGACAAGAAGGTCAAATCATATTGATTAGCTGTCTATCATATAGTCTATCTATCTGTCGCGATTAACAGGGAACAGATCTAAGGGTTCATATTACGTCTAATATTGCACCTTAAGACGCTGATGTTGTACTTCCTGTACCATTTTGCATTTTGTGTTAATCAAACCATCTGTGGTTCGTTGGACTGTTGTACATTTTTTGTGTGAGTCTACATTCCTGTTAACTGGGTGTTGTATTTCGTTCAGCCATTGCGCTGTCGGCATTCAGATGGAATATAACATCATTTCTGAAGGTTTATACCATGTTTATCTGACACATTCTGCTAAAAACAATGATTTTGCGGTTCTCCAACAACTTGTCGTCAAAATAATTCTATTCAAAGCAATTTAGCATTGTTTGGGATTTTGTCAAAGGCTGCGAGTCCATAACTTTGAGGCGTTACTCGTGCAGTGGCTGTAACAGCCCATGTATTCCAACTCCCGCAAATTAGCGATATATATGGCGAAACCGCCAGCCAGTTTCATAGGCGAGTAACTATCTTCTTGGTTGGCCTGGTAAGAGGACAGTTACTCATATCTGAAAATGGCTGGCGGCTTCGTCATGTATATGATGAATTCGCGGGAGTTGGAATTCTAGGCGCATTGGATCGGGTTACAGTGGCTGAGTGGTCTACGAGATTGCCCTGCAAGTGGAAGATCCCGCGTTCGAACTCTGGCAAGTGAGTATCTATTAAGAGTCACAAGCTAGAACGAGAAAGTGGTCCAGTACTCCCAGATTTCCAAGTTGATATCCAACTGATGTCTGCTAGTGATCAGTCGCATAACCAGTTAAATAACTGCAGACCAGCACTTAACATTGAGATATTTTACTTGCGACTAAGAAATGATAATAATAGTTCAAACATTCTACGAACGGATGGTGACAAAAATGCATGCAATTTTTACAGGCACGATCGGTTATGTTACAAATTGCAGTTGTGAATTAGCAAGGATTGGAACCTTTTCAGAAGTTTAAATGGTTGAACTGTAGTGCAAGCAATCAGGTTCGCATGAATTTTAAATTGTGAACCCCTCACTAAGGTCTTCATCAAAGTTGAGCGACAACAATACTCCATTCCGTTGCCTGTTGGTAGTCATGGCCAACCGATAAGCAGCACATATTTGGGTAGGTGCTTTGCCCCACGTGATTAAACGCTATTTCAGGCAGAAAAGAACGTCCTGAGAGGCTCCAAAATGGTACAAAGTGCAATTACGGATAATACATCATAGGAGGTACATTTACAAGATAAATACAAGAAGGAGCTATAGAGTACTTGGGATGATAGCACACATTTGCAATGTTCAGTGCTAACCATACTGGCCTTATGGTAGAAAACTATGACGTTTTCGATGAAAATATAGTTATTTTCGAACATAGGTGTTGTTTTGTTTATTATCAAAGCAACCAGACCTTAAACGAGTGAAGGGTGTGAATGGTAGGAGCACATTTTAACTTTATCAAAGGCCCAGGAAGTTGAGATAAAATAGAGTATGGTATTAATTAGATAAAAGGATTATCGTGAAGTATATGAGTGGCATTCCAGAGGGAAGTGGCTTGAAAGAATAGAACCTGTAGGATATGCTGACCTGTAAGATGTCTGGCGAACTTGTATATGACCCATGGGGTGATATAACAATATATATTTATTCCTACCTATGTAGGACACCAGATTTACGGGCATGGACAAGAAGCTGAGCAGACTTGTAGATGTTAGGAGCAAAGGCAATTTCTTATAATTTAGATCTGTGCAGTCACTACTGATGAATATTCAGGATCTAAACTCGCGTTGAATTCTCGAGCTGTCTAAAATGAATGTTGCTGTCCTACAGATCCGAGCGATTGGCATTTGTGACCACTACCAAGTCTGCTGATCAGCATCAGTCAGTGCATCAACTAGCTACATGTCACTTTTGGGTTCAAGTCTCACACAGAAGCCCATCATCCACCGCTGATGCAGACATACGTTTTCGGAAAATGTCATAAGAAATTAAACGCACCTCAATGACTTCTCTGTTGGCCACCATCAACCGAATAACATGATGCTGACGCAAAGATAAGATAGAGCTTTCTCACTAGAAGCCAACATATCAACGGTGACTGTTTCGGTAAGTTTAAAAATAATAGACCCGACTAACGGCTGATACAGAAAACTGAGGAAATTCATGGAGTCATTTTGGCACATTCAGTACTTACACCAGCATGAGTTCAACAATAAGCGCTAACAAAGTATTACCCAGGGGTTACAGACACGCTCAGTGGGATAACCTGAAACCATACCTACGCACTCTAAACTGGGAGCTATTCCTTACACGCGGGTCGGCTGTACAGACAGCTTACTCTATGAGAACCTAGGATTCTGACATGACTTCACCGCTCCAGGAAGACTGGTGAAAACGAGGCCTAGACAGCCCGAATTCATCACCATAAAGATTCGAAGCCACCTGTGTAAACATGCTAGACTGTTCTACAGATGTAGTGATGTGTTTTTGATTTCTATCAATAACCTACCATGCCGTCTTCTTTGCGCTGACGGCGTAGGGATTTAGAAGGTAGCAGAGTGCGCGGAAGACTCAGGCCACCAGCAGACCTGAATATTCTGGAATCCTGGGCATTGGTCACTGGTGTGAATTTAAACCTGAGAAAAATACGAAGCAGTGCATCTACGCACCTGCAGGCTGCAGAATGTAAGTTGCTCCGAGTGTAGCAAAAGCTTGTCCTGTGTGATGTCAGAGCGTGAATTAAGCCTAGTTCTGACGGAGGAAACGGACACAAGCATGAATCAAATGTGTAACGTATACATGGTATATGAGGTTATATACTTTACGCATAGACAGGTGCGGCCACTCCTGAAGTTTTTCTGGGTTATACGAAATATACGTAAGACCACACCTTGAAATGCAGAATATCATTACTCCTCCGGTACTCAGAAGCGACGCTAACCTCTTGGAAATTTTGAAGACGAGAGACAAAAGGGCTGAGGTGTCTCAGAGATGAACTGCTGAAATTAGATCTTTTCACACTTGGCTACCATTGACTCAGTTACTGCCTGAAAAGTCACAAATTAAAGGTATTCTGCCATTAAGTACGTATGGGCTTCCTCGTGGCAACCCAAGAAGTACAGCACACCACAGAGCAAAGACTCAAGTTCTCCAGCATTTCTTTTCATTCTGCCTTTTTTCATTGCTGCCTTTATAACTATCTGCCGACGGGTTTTTCTACCACACTGTCCGTGGAAAGCTTTAAGTGGAGGCTGGGAAATCGCACGGCTACACAAAGATTGCATCGAAACTGCCTGAACTCCTTAAACTGAAACACTATTAGGGAATATACATCTAAACCCGCCCTTTTACTACTGATCATTCTCCTGCATCTTACTTGTCCGGCTGTTGTATCTATTCATTCACTTATATTGCTGTCATCTTAAAATAAATAAATAAATACATATATTAGTTACGAATTCCATTATCTATCTGTTTGTCTGTTTTTTTTAAAAAGTTTACATATTCTACACTAATTACATATATTACTGTTATCCCTCTTTCTGACCACATTAGATGACTAGCGGATGAAAGGATCAACTCCACTCGCAGTAGTAACCCGATCTTAACACCAGACAACTCACAGGCCATATATAACCAATTCCAGAACCACTCCCCTTGAGCTCGACCTGAGCTACGACAGTTGTGTGGTGGAACGCATTACGCAGACATTTACCAGAGATAGGAAATCTGTAACTCACAACCAAGAAGCGACCACGAAGAGATCAAGTTGGTTTACACTAGCTCGTAGAAAACGATACTGAGTGACTTGTAAAAAGGATACTGGATCGAATGCACCTTGCACTTGTGTTTATTCATCTTTTTTATTCCTTTACGTTCCCAGTGGAACATAGGGCTTCAAGCTAAAGGCTTGAAATTTCTGTAACAGTGTTTATTTTACATGACCAGTCTTCCGTCTTTGCTAGTTCTATTACTAGCTTAGCGAGGTAAAGGAGTGCACCGGTCGGGGATCGAACCCCGAACCATGTGCTTGGTCGGCGAGCGTCTTAACTGCTGTGCCACCGACGCACAGTTATAATTTATGAAAATAATCATCCAGAGGATTTTATTCTCCCCAATATGTGAATCGTTAGAGTTAAAAAACTTGCCTTTAGTGACTGAAACAGCAGCTGTATGTTTTACTAATGTTAGGCTGCAGTTGTCATAACAACTGAAGTGCAAGCATTTAAAAAAATGACGATGAATAAATATACTAAGAAAATTTACTTTAAAAAAGAGGAAATCAAAGATGTAGGACCATCGGTAGATTCCGATGACATTGAGCAAAGAATCGCAGCACGTAGACTGCGGATAAAAAACAGACAGGAAATGTTAGGGCAAGTGCATCCAGTTCAGGGATTAATTCACTTTTATAAATAGAGCTGACACTCTCACCACGACAACTAAAGAACAAGCACATGAAGTTGGGTTGGGAAGAGCTCAGATTGAACAAAGCAATCAAAGGATTGCCAAGCTGATTCGTGATGGAGACTCTTTTGTTACTAATATTCGTGTTGCATGTGATGCTCGTGAAAATCTCAAAAGAGCTGAGGACCATGAATTAAATCAAATAAGAGTTCAAAACCTTGAAAATGACGCAACGAATAGCCTGGAATTATTTAACAAGGTCAGTTAGCTTCTGGGTAATCAATAATCCTTCTAATTTACCTATAAAGTCTCATACTGTAAAGTTTGATAGCATTACTGTCTTCAGTATTTAACTATGTAGTAAAGTATGCTTGCACTAGTGTTTTCAAGTCTTCGTGCCCAGTAGAATAGTCTTTCCGTGAACATGGGTAAAGTGGGTAAAAACGTGGACATTTTTCCGTCCACAATTTGATACACACTATACTGGGTATTTTCTGCAAGATCCAGCATCTTTTTATCAGCATTTTCTGACAGGAAGAATACCATTAACTTCGGTATTGTGTGGGTGACCACTATTTTGAGAACGAAGTCTCCACTTATGGCTATTTGACCTTTCTCTTGTGATTTCTTAAAAATCTTACTTAGCGGGGGTAAACTACTAGAAAAGCTAGCACCTTCTTTATCATTTAAAATAAAACATTCAAAACTAGAATTGTCTCTGTTCCTACGATGTAATACTAAAAATGTGTAGACTTGTCTTTCCCTTCTCGAAAGTAAGAGTATGAGAATTTCCTTACCAGCCTTTGCTCCGTACCTCTTTGAAGTTGGAACTAACGTTCTGTATTTCGTATTTAAGATGAAGTCAAACATAATTTGCAAGAAATCAGTTCAGATATCCGAACATTTTAAATCCTTGTGAAACATTTAAAGTACTCTGAATGCCCTTGTTCTGACTGCATTATAAAATTCTAAATGTCTTAATATATATAGTTGACGATGACTCCTAAATCCTTCCGCCGTCTAGCATTAGGTGGCTGTACACTAACCAGAGAAACAGTCAAGTCAGGTCGATAGCCTAGGCATGTTGTATTACCTTTGGTGTAGTCGATTTGTAGATTTCTGTGTTTCAGCCATTTAGTTAATCCATTCAACTCAGTTTGCAAAGCTGACTTATCTGAGCTACTGTCGGTTATCATCCGAATATAGTAAAGATAGTATGTGTTGAATTCTTTTTATTCCGTTAGTATATACTGGTAATAGTAAAAAAGCCCAAAATAGTGCAGTGCGAAACCTCACTGATGGCAGTTTTACCCAGAGAATATTCCGTTCGCTTTCTCCTTTTACCTTCTTTGTTTACCCCAGTCATGTGGGATGTTATCTGGTTCTCATAATAAGATGAAATGGGATGTTTTATTGAATGCTTTACTGAACATCAAAGCCCTGCTTCTCTTCCTGCAATGAGCCACATTTTACCGCATGAGACTAGATCTGACCTCTTATGGTTTTCTACAGTATCTTAGCAACAATACACTATAGGATGACTGGACGATAGTTGGAAAATATTTGCCTCTTGCCTTATTTGAAGACAGAGCATGAAGCCAAAATCTTCTAAGCCTTAATTGGTCCATCTGACCCTCATTACTTATCAGAATTAAAGTTAGATAGCTGTGAGAATACCAGTTTACTGTTAGTCATGGTTTTTATCATCTGTAGGACGTCATCAATGATATCACTAACCATCTGTAGCTTATTGCTTGAAGGCTAAAATAGTCAGGATTATGGATTTTTCTGCATCTGATTCAGCTGTATCACCTACCTTATGAATAGGGAGAGATATTGCATTGTAAGCCTTATAAAGGAATATAAATTCCTACAAAAGTGTAAGAAGTCAAAGATTAACTGTTCCTCATGATCTAATAGACGTTTGCTGATAAAAGTCTTGCGAGATTTCCAATATTTTCAGTACTTTAACTTTCAATTTTTTATAAAATACTTTCATAAACACATCTTTCCCTTCAACAGCAAGCAGTGAAATTGAAAGTTGTGAAGATATTTTAAGAAACTTTTAGGGGCATTTCGGTAAATTCTAAGGGAAGCTTTTAAATCGTAGGAACTTTTTGAACAATACTAGTTGACTGATACATATTCGGCAAACTTCCCTGTTGCATTTTCATCAACCTTAACAAAAACTCCGTTTTACTTCACTTAACCTAAGCTCCTCTGAAAACTAGTGTTTTACTGCTGTTGGGATATCAATGCTAAGGTATATTCATATCGACGGAGTACTTTGATCATGAGTAACTAACTGTCTGACTGAGTTTCAAAGTAGAACCTTAGATAGAAGTGCAGCAGTTTATTTTGCTGAACACCATGTGGCACCAAAAAGTACAGAAAAATATAAATTAATTTAAAAGAAACGTACGAGAGAAAGAACAATTGCATGGAAAAACACGAGGATTTGATGGCTATAGAAGTTCGTAAAGAGTAAGTGCATCAACACTACTGAGCACAATTTTGAGTCATATCATTAAGAGTCTTAAAGCCACTAGCTCTTAGCATCTCGAGGATCACAATTAGGCAGTCTACACCTCCCTAAGTGGCTAGCTCATACCAAAAGTCAAAAGTCTTACGGATTGATCCAACCTAATCGGCTAACATTGTTCGTTAGGTAAGAAGATAGCTCAGTAAATGCGACGTATAGGCTGGCTATCTCAAATGATGTAACTTTACAGTCTCATCAGTGTACTTCTCCTCCTTACATAACACCCTCACCATATTATACCACTTAGAATTTGACCAAAATCTTTCGCCGGAGTATGATTTCAGCCTGTGGAACCCTTACAGGTCTCACTCTACTTGCTTAAGATTATGCAGATGACACAGTTTTTGTTTAACAGAAGACAAAGATAAAGCCCAAAGTTATCAACTGATTGATCGTACTTACTACTTCATTTCAGTATAAAGCCATATTAATCATGGTAGGCTGGTGGATGGTGAAATCTCAGCACAGATGTGAGAGGCTTGTTTTGGCTTGCATTAAACTTTAGCTTTTGTAGTGCAGATATTAAGGATGAGTTGAACATCTCAGATTCGCTGTTAGCTATACACATTTTGGCTTCATTGTATTGTCTATCTCTGAAGAAACATAAATATAAGCCATCCAGAAGTTAGGCAAAGAGATCTCACAGAAAAAAACCCGTATGCTATCTTCCTGTTTGGCGCATTTTTTATGCATTGCCTTTCACTCTTTATCTAGACATGATACATTAGTGAAATAAGGATGAAATGCTAAGAAGTCTACCGAAAAAGAGAGGAATGTGAATCTCAATAGTTCCATGAAGTTGACATTGAGCCAAACCGATTAATTGAGGTTGGGGGAGAGCTAGTGACACTATCTGCTTGCATATACTTCAGCAGGTGAAGAGGTGTTATTTAGAAATCGGGCTTCTAGACTGATGCATATTTCTGGTATGAGTGATGAGTCATTCCTATTGCACTTGTTGGGTGTAGACTCGATGAACAAGGTGACGTTTCGAGCACAAACTATTGCTCATAATCATATCATATCATATCAAGAACTTGATATGATTATGAGCAATAGTTTGTGCTCGAAACGTCATCAGTTAATATAACTGTACAACACTGTGTGATTTATCAAAATAAAACCTTATCCATTATGGATTTATACTCTACCACAGTGCCAAAGTTTTATACTTATATCGATGAACAAGGATTCAGTAATCAACCTCTCTCTCTCTTCACCCACCTATATTACTTCTTAGATTTTTAACCCTCTCCCACCATGCTATTGTGTGGTTGTATGTTAATGCATGCAGTGCAATGCAGTGCTGAGATTTTTTCTAAATTACTTATCTTCTCGGGGTCAACCATTCTTAACTTAACTAAATTCTTATTTTTCAGCTACTTGACTACTCCACCCGACTTACTAGTTTGACCTCACAGTCACTGGAAGGTATTTTGTAAATTATATTATTTTGTCTTACTGGCTCAGTTGTGTTTTATTCTTATATCCTCGACCGATGAGCTACAACTCCGCAATGCAAGTGATCGAAGAATTGATAATTCAAAACTTAGAAATCACTTCACAAAGTCGTTTGCTGTTTGTTTAATCCATATTGTTTAGTGCAGAATTCATAGACATAGTTCCTTTGACAAGGTGACGCAACAACTCAGGCAAATTGCAGTTCATAAGCTTGGGACTAACTGAATTATCTGAAATCACTTATATGAAAGGTTATGCAATTAAAAATCAATATACAGCTGTTAAGGGAATGAGACATTGGTCACACTGACTTTCTGTATGCATAAGCTTGACTGGAAGTCGTCGTAAACTTGGTGTCCTTTACATATTTAATAGATTGGAGGATTTAAAGAGCTCGACGAAGTGTTTCGTATCTATAAGGTGTCTGGTAATTGCACTTTATAAATATCTGCATACATTTCCTGAAACATGCTAAGAAAACTGGATAGATGGTCTTATTTCTATTCCTCCGATGTACTTGTTGCCACAAATGCATCTACGCAGTTGGAGGTGACATCAGAAGGGTACTTATTCGGTTTAGATTGATTTTTTTGAGCATTTGACACCGTCAGGAATCAGTTTTTCAACTCTTTTTATTATTTTTTCGTCAGTCTTATGACATCCTGTTTCTTTTTTGAATGGGAGACGAATAAAGACCTTTTTGTTTTCACAGTCTAAAATTGCCTTTGCACGACTTTCTCATACTTATATATGGATGAGATTTTTTTTTATTCCTTCACGTTCCCAGTGGAACATAGGGCTTCAAGCTAGTGGCTTGAAGTTTCTGTAGCAGTATTTATTTTTACAGGATGAGGTTGCTAGCCTCATGCCCAACCTTACCTCTTCACCAGCTTTTATTTCTGGCTTAGCGAGGTAAAGGAGTGCGCCGACCGGGGATCGAACCCCGGACCAAATGCATGGATGAGATGCTTACTATCAACTGATCCTATTCAGATAGGTAGTTACCTGGGTTCTAGTGGGAAGTCGTGAACAGTAGGGTGCAGCAGGTCGGGTGTGAGGACAAATACTTGGCTAGTAGTCGCTCTATATCGTGAATTGGCAGGCAGAAGCTGGAATTCATGGGATGGTCATTGGATCGGGTTCCAGAGGCTTAACGGTTTACGAGCTCACCGTGTAACCAGAAGGTCCTGGGTTCGAACCCCTGGTGGTGAGTGCGTACTGATGAAGAGTTCCAAAATAAGATGAGATGGATGGCTGTCCAGTACTCCCTGTAGGTTTTCCAATGGTTCTTTAACCGATATCAGCTCGTGATGAAATCCTGTAACCAATCAATGAAATCCGTACAAACCAATACTTGAAAACAGAAGTTGTCGTACCGAAGGTACTATCTAGGTGAAGTTTCTTTTGTAGATGAACTTTTAGGATGTAGGCCTGCATAACTATCTAAACCTATAGCTAGGAAACTTAGAAACCATTAGAGATCCGGGAAAGTAATATCATGCGGACTAACTTGCATTAACTTCTCTTGTCTTATCTTATAGTACCCCGCATGATTCTTAGTTATATTAATAATATGGATCTTTAGGTGACAATTAACGCTTCCATGCAAGTAATGTCTGAATTACTCAATAATATAAAAAAGGCGATGGGATTACCATTAGATCCCTTACTTGCAGACTGCTTCTTGGCAAGTCTAGAGAATAGTAAGTTATGATCCACTATCGATAGTTTCCATATGTACCAAAGATACATGGATCATACTTTCATCATATGTGACAAGAATGCCAACATCGAAGTAATAACTAGGGTGTTCAACAACTGCCATCATGCCATCCAGTTCATGTCGGAATCAGAGATGAACTCGGAATTCCATTTTTTGGATGTTTTTCTAAAAAGGAGATCTGACGGTTCTCTTCAGATATCAGTTAGAAACCAGTATGGAATGGTCAATACATAAATTTTCATTGTTGGGTCCTTTTGAGAAGAAAGAGAAATCTGACCCACTGCTTATCCTCAAGAATAAGAAGGATATGTAGTTTTGATACAATCATCGGGGAACTGGGGCGACTCAGACAAGTCCTCATGAAAAATGGATATCCTGCAAGATTCATCGAGAAAAACATGAAAGCAAAGCAAAAGCCTGAAAGAGCCCAGACGGTGTCCAAGAAACTGCTATTGATGAGCGTTAAATCTAAAGGTAATATCACGGCTGAGATTCTGAAAAACCGCTTATCCAGATCACTGAGAAAAGTCTTCTTTTCGGTTGAGCTACGGATCGGCTTTTATATCCGACAAATGATCAGTAGATGTATGAAGGATAAGCTGCCGCTTTGGGCCACTTCAATGTGTGTTTATAAATTCACTTGTTCCTGTGGAGTTAGTTTTGTTGGCCGCACAAAGCGCACATTTTTCAAAGGCATCTCTGAACATTATCCGGCATGGTTGGTTAGTAATAGGATAGTGCACGACAATTACCATCTCAATTCTCGAGGAATCGGTGAACTCATACCATGCAGCTCCACCAGAGTCGTCTTTTAAGATTATCTACAAGGTGAGGCCAAATGGTACAAAGGGTGTTGGGTTTCGGTATTTGTGTATGGCGAATGCGTTACCGATTCGTCAATAAAACCTAGAACTCTGTGTACAGAAGAAGTTTGTCCAGTTTCTTATTCTGCCTTGATCTTAATCTCTTCACTAATTGCTCCCTGAAATTTTTAATTTCTAAATTTTGCTTTTAGTTTACTTTTACTTCAATAATCAATTCACTATTATCACTCCCATATGTTCCTTTGGTACGCTTTCTCACCTTCTTCACACCTGTTAAACTGACACTCAACTATGTTTCTTCTCACTCAATATCAATTTTAACCTTATCAAATTTCTAACCATTTCTTCCTTTGTGGCTTTGAGTGTTAAGTAATTTACAACTTTTATTTTGACTTTTGAAGCTACTTCTGAGTAATTATATCAGTTAGATCACCCACCCTTTATTACTAAATAATAGATACATTTTTGGTAAATATAAATACGACTGTACAGCCTGTGAAGATGATTTCGTCAATATAGAAAATTTTCTTCACTGAATTTGTCTTTTTTGACTGGTTAGAGGATTTCATCATGAGCTGACATCAGTTAGGGAACCATTGGAAAATCTGGGAGTACTGAACAACTGTTTCGTCAGCCTAGTTTGGGACTCTTCACCAGCACGCACCCACCAGGGTTCGGACCCGGGACCTTCTGGTCTCAGTGGCCTAATGGTCTACGAGATCGCCTTGTAACCAGAAGGTCCTGGTTTCGAGACCTGGAGGTGGGTGCGTACTGCAAAAGAGTCCAAAACTAGGCTGACGAAACAGCTGTTCGGTTCTCCCAGGTTTTCAATGAACCTCTAATCGATGTCAGCACACGATGAAATCCTCCAACCAATCAAACAAAAAAAATTCCTACGAAACCAATACTTGAGAGCTGTCTTTTATTTCCTTCATGGCTCAATGGGTATTTTCGGTGATCTGAAGGCATCATTTTTCTGTCTGATATGATGACTGGAAACCCTTAGATTTATGATTGAAAGTTGATTATAGTGGAAAAATTATTGTGTTTGTTATTCAGCGGCAGAATGCTCGTCAGCAGCGGCCTTGGGCCTAGGGTTCGATTCCTGGCCGACGCAATCCTCTTAAACCTAGCAAGCTTGGAAAAGAAGGAAGGTATGGACGTAAAGAGAAACAAAACAACACTACCTCTACTAAAATTTCAAAGCTTAGAGTTTGAAGCCTCATACTGCATATTCGCAAGGCAAAAGATTAAAAAGCGTATATGCACTGATTACTATACCTAAAAAGGGGATCAGAATAACTCTTTGTTTATACTTGGCCTTTGTTCTTTTCTCTCATTTCATCTTTATCGCATACCATTCTGCCTTATCTTCATATTTTGTAGGTTTCTTTATTCAGGAATAGTTTCTGAAGGGTGTTTCATGATCTGATCGCCTTATCAATTAATTTTTCCATGGTACCATAGAAGCAATTGTTTATCTAGAAGTTTATTCGATTATTCAACCATCTCTTCGATTATATATATAATAATTTCAGAACCTTAATGGTGAATTATGATATGAAGTAAGCACTGTAGGAATCATGGATGCATGGTTCTATATACTACTGACTGACAGAAATAAGTAGTTGGATATCATTTGCATCAGTCAGTGGTGCTTACTGGCCTACAATATCGAAGGGATCTAAACACCAGATGGCCGTTCCCCTCTTTTGGTGCTGAGCTCATCAGCGGTGTAGCCGGATTTTAACTCAATTCAGACAGCGCTGAACCAGTTCAAAACATCCAATTTCTGACTAGCTAATTGGGTGAACTTGCGTGTACTCCAAGTGGAATATAGGGCCCCAGCTGTAAATTTCCAATAATGGTGTCGGTTCCCTAGTATCTAACCGACTGATTGACTGGTTTCAACGTAGAGCTTTGCACAAATGTTCAGCACATAGAGTCGCCACACTTCACTTAACACTCAGAGCAAGAGAAGAAAGTAAAAAGAAATGCAAAATAGAGCCAGTAAACGGAGATGTGAGGTAAAAAGAATAGTAGTATGGGAGAACAATATAGTTTTATTTGGATATTATAAGTCACAAGGAGTGGATGCATCTGCGCCATCATCGCTGGGATTTTGAGCCATATCACCAATTGTCTCCAGCCTTCATTGGTTCATACCAACCTGATGACCCCAACCAGTCAAGTTGTCTACGCTTCTCTACATGGTTGGCTTAAACTAACTGTTGCGGACTTCATTGACTGATGAAGTCATGAAGTTTTCAACCTGATCCACTATCAAGTGACATTTCTCGCCGATGAAGACAATGGATGGGTAGGCATCCGTAACACATGTCCTAGCCATCCCACTCAATCGATGTAACTGCTTCACAGCCTCGTTTATTGATTTTCCCTCCTTACCTAACACTCAACGCGTAACCTTCCTAGTTTCGCTGTCACATGAATTCTTGACTGTTCGCAAGCCTTCATTTCCCCTCCACATGACTTCATCCTTGCGCACCCAATTCGTCAGTACTCATTCAAGTGACAGTCGACGACCTGGCTAGTAATTCTACTTAAAAATCTTCGCAGTGTAAATCCAATCCATCTTCATCTTCTTCTGTTTGTCTGTTGAGCAATAGATTGCTGACTGAATCATTGATACAGCGTATTTTTGTTTCTGCCTTCTCACCAGCCATATGATCTTCAGTGTCATGTGAAAGGCGGCAGGTGTTGGTGAAGCATTTGTACCAAGCTACTGGACTATGTAAAAGCACTAACTTGATTAACATCGGTGCTAAAAATTTGTATATTGTTTGCTGTGTCAAGAGTGCTATGAGACTCCACACACATTTGTCTTACTTTGCTGAACAGATAAACTGACTTCAACATTTTCACATCTCTTATAATTTTGCAAACTTTTACTCCATTACACTGCCGCTGACTTTACTCATCGATTAATAAAAAAAAGTTTTATATACACATATGCATTTTTAGATAACTGAACAATGGGATATAGTACAAGAAAGTGAATTAGTGGATGAAACAAGAGAGGTAAGTTGTGTTAATTTAGAAGGAAAAATTTTTTTTTCATTTAAATAAAGTTCATATAACTGATGTCAGCTCATAATGAAATCCTCCATCTAATCAAACTAAAAAATCCCTACAAAACCAATACTTGAAAATTAATCTGATGCTCACTAGCGACTGGCCCTATTCAGGTAGGTAGTTACCTGGGGTTCTAGTGGGAAGTCGTGACCAGTAGGGTACAGCAGGTCGAAGATGAGGCAGTAACTCATCATCGAAGAAGACATTGCGAAATGGTCGCGCTATGTCGTAAATTGGCAGGCAGAAGTTGGAATTCATGGACTGGCCATTGGATTGGGTTGCAGTGGCAGCTTAATCGTCTATGAGCTCACTGGCCTTGTAGGCGCAACGTCCTGGTTTCGAAACCTGTCGGTGGATGCGTAATGCTGAAGAGTCACTAACTAGGACGAAACAGCCGTCCAGTACTCCCAGGTTTCACAGTGGTTCTCTAACTGATGTCAGTTCATGATGAAATCCTCTATCCAATCAAACTAAAAAATCCCTACAAAACCAATACTTGAAAAGTTATATATGTCTAAACCAAATTCACTTCTAACAGTTTGCGAAAATTTGGGCACCGGGTATATGATATATATTCATTATTATAAAGGCTTTTTTGTATTTCCCAGTGAATGAATGAGAAACAAAACGATAATGTCGGTTTTACTGATGTTTCGCTATTTAATGCTGCTACTAATAGCTGCTTTATCAAGTAGTATAATTAAACCAGAATTTTCAAAATCTCAGCTTATATATGACAAATTTAATCATCGTTCCTCAGCATGGGGGCATTTTTCCGTTGTCAAATTGGCCAGTTAGTAAAGATAACAAAACCAAGTGTAGATTGTTAGATTTGATAAGTGTGTAAAATTATAAAAAAGTAGCGTATGTTTACAAAATGAAATTGCTTATCACATTCGTGTTGATTTTGTCATTTGATGGGGGAGGCTGGGGGTGCTATAACCAGGTCAAATTCTGTTTTAGTCCATCACTCCTATTCGGACAATTTGGACTCCATTTGATATGAAGTGCTTCTCGTGTTAGACACTTTTTGTGATTTCTGAAATCGTTCTGGATGATGATTTCAATATTGTCAAATTCAATTTTGTGGCCTGATTCCATAGAGTAGCGTGTAGACCTATGGCTGATGATTTTTCATGCTTCTCTAGTTCACAACTGAATTTCTTGGTAGTCGAACAGAGGCCCCTCTACGGTGATCATTTCTTCTGATTTTGATTTCTCTCTGGTGATGTTTGTCCGATGTATATCGCATCACATTCCAAGCGAGCATTTTATTTTATAGACACAATTAGATAGAGAATCTTTAGGGATTTGATCATTAACATGGACAAGGTTACTTTGTAGTGTGTGTGTGTCTGATGTTCTGAAGAAAACTCCGATGTCGAGCTTATTGAGTACTCTTCTGATATAGTCTGATGTCTCCACTCTTATATGATAAACACCAGTAGTATTACTGCTACTAATACAACGATTGTTACTGGTTATGATGTGGGTGGTTTCCAACTACTCATATCGCTCAATCAATCAGTAGTATTTACCCCTTGTGTGTGGGTAGTTGAATGATAGTATGCTTACAAATCACGATGGAGGTTCAGGTTCACTTCCTAGCTGACACAACTCTAAGCTTCTCCTAGTTGGTAGTTAACCTGAGAGTACGGTATATTTGAGCGTGAGGCTAGCAACCCAACCCCTCTTTAAGAAAAAGCAGGACAACGCTACCGCTGCTCGAAATTCAAAGCTCAAAAGCCTGAAGCCCGATGTTAATCTCGGAGTTCAAGCATTCTTACATGACTAGCTTCAGTCTGACGAAGCCAATTTTGTTAAGTATGCCAATGATCTGACTGTGTTTCCATGCCGATGGTTACTTCTAAGTCAGAATGTTCCAAAATGAATAACTTTGTATCAGAAATTAGTGAGTGGTCCTCGTCAAATTGTCTTAAGCTTAATCCATCCAAATGTCATTTGGTTAATTTCACTTTCAGATGTAAGCGCCACTTACGTGATGAACTGTTTGCACGGTTCCTCAATCATAGATGGCACCGAAGTTGAAACTAAGTAGAATGTTGGATACTTTGGACTGTGAATTTCCTCTGACCACCTTTCCTCATCTTCCCCCCCCCCAACATGATGTTAGTTCCCAGTAAGATATTTCCTTTGACGTTCTATGTAAGGAAGTTAAGACAATCTGGTATCATTCCATCTCTACTGTTACCGTTTGTTAATTCTTGTATTCTGCCTATGCTTCTTTACTGTTCCCCCACAACTTAATCTTTCCTGGGCTTTGTTATACTACCTGGGGCATTAAAAGCAGTGAGTAGGGCGAGTGGGGTGTCACTAAGCTAAACCAACTCATTTATACTATTGTAGTTATTGTAGGCACTTGGATTCCTGCAAGAAATGAGCAAATATTATCCTGTCAGACTCTGAACATCTTCTGCACACACACAACTCTCTCCTTGCTACATCTCATCGGGTAGGTAAAAATAGAAGCAACTATAGAAAGAAGACTATATGATCGGGCAACTAAGTACAAAAACTCTACAATACCTTATTTGGCAGGCACACATTTTATGTGATGAGAAAGGTGTGTAAGACAGGAGATTACCAACTAACTTACTGAGCAACTCTAAGTAAACGACATTGTGTTTTTCGTTGTTCTCATTGTTACATTGTCGTTGATATTTCCACTTGATTTAACTTTATATTCATACACTTACTGGACATTATTGTCAATGTGAATGCCTCCGTTATAATTATTGCCCCTGTTATGAGAAAATTAGATGCAATACTGTACTACTACATGCTGAAAATTCCATATTTGTATCAAAACTACTGTTTGGAATATTATTATTATTTTTGCTTCCTTTGATTCCTAGAGGAACATGGGGCTTCAGTCGCACGTCTCCATTGCATTCGGTTGTCTGCCAAACGTTTTTATCACCTGACTCTACGTCTGCCAACATATTTTCATCATCTCCTCTTCACATGACCTCCTCCATGTCACGCTCACAGTGACGACCAACTGGCCGCTTCCCATTCAGGTTTTACTCAAGAGATGGCCTGGCGTGTGATGTCACTGGATGGTCTCTTTTCTCAGACTATGGCCAATCCACCCCTATTTCTTCCTGCATATTCGTTGCACAATCGGTTCCTACAGGGTTGGTTCGCTTGCTGAGATCCTTGTTGCTAATCTTTCCTGGCCAGCGGGCCATCTGATCTTGAGTAGTATTGGGCAAAGACAGCTATTCATGAAAGTCTGTAGTTTATTCGAAGTGCCCTTCGTGACGCTCTGGCCAAGTCTCTAATCCGTATAGTAGCACTGAATGACTTCCCATTTGAGTCTAAAATCTGGATCTTATTTTCATTTTCATGCTGCGGAGTCTTGTTGACCTCCTCCCACAGACCGACTTGAGAGAAATGGGAGCTTACCTTGCTTTACCGATCCTTGCTTTGATATTCTCGTCAGTTCCTGTTTAGAATAAAGCTGCTATTGTCATTATTATGTATCTCCTTACTTTGTAATTTGAGTGAAACATACACATTTTCGAGCTTGAGCCCTAAAGTCTCAGTATCGGTAGTGTTGTTTTTACGTGGGGGGGGGGGCGGGGCGGAGAGTTCACCGTCTCACGCTCAACCTTCCCTCTTCACTGAGCTTACTACAGCGTAAGCGAGGTTTAGGAAGTGTGAAGTCGGCCTGGACTTAAATCCGAACTACTTGCATGGTTTCACTCTTGATAACTTTTCATGATATAATAGCCTGTTTTGTTTACTCACTTCTCACCTTCTTTTCAATGTTCTTTTTCTCTCTCCCTCATGGGGAAAAACAACTGACAACGATGACAACACCACCAACAACAAAATGGACAAAATGTTTTTTAAGCTTTTAGAGAAACAGAAAAAGCTGTGTACAGATTTGATAGCTGAAAAGAATAAATTAATCAATGAATTGAATTTGGTAAGTTTCTCACTGATATATTTTTTTTCCATTTTCTTTTGATATCTTTGTATTCCTAAACTGAATGGATCAGCCACATTGGGTTTCGGTGCATGGGGTCCTAAAATGAGGTGATTCGATAATATGCAGATGAATGACTAGATGTTGTACATTTAATAGTGGAGTTGACTGAAATCCAATTGAACGTGCGTTTCGTCCTGACTTTAGGACTCATCAACTGAATGTGCCTGCATCTCCACTGAGTGCTGGTCTTCCCATTGAGAAATAAATCTTGCACATGTTGCTTCAAATGCTATGAAACGATAGGTGGTAGATTTCTGTTGAAATGTGTGGGTCGAAATGATCATTTTTGGTATATTGGTCAGTTAAACGTGTGCCTCAATATCACTCGGATGAATAACCAGACGTTACTTCAAAGTATGAATAATCCCCATGTGATATACATTATGAACACATGAGTTAAAAATAATAATAATGGCTTTATTCCAAACAGTATTTGTGGTACAGGTATGGAATTTTCAGCGTGCATTACAATATTGCATCTAATTACCTCATAAATTTTATAAGGATTTAAAAATATAAAGCAACAACATCAAAAGAAAAAGAAGAGAAATAAAAGAAATAAAAAAGAACAGCATTGCATTCACATATTTAAACAATGCACCACAGGATATGATATATGAAATTAGTCTGTAATAGAATATATGAGCAACAATATAATAGTAACAAAGAAAGGAGAACAAAAGCTATTGGGAACTATTTGTTAGGGTGCCGCAGTAAGTTGATCGTGTCATGCCTAACAGTTTTCTCATCACATAACAGCTGTGCCAGATAAGGTATTGTCGAGTTTTTATACTTGGTAGTGCTGGCATATAGCTTCCTATAGTTGCTTCTAGTTCTACCAGATGAAATGCAAGGAGAGAGCTGCGTATGGAGAGGGTGTTCGGGGTCTGACAATATAGAATTCACTAGTTTCTTACATGACATTATATGTCTATCCACCATTGTGTTAACCAGTTGGTTTAACGAAATCCCACTTCCCCTACTAACAGCTTTTAGTGCCCTATGCAGCGAAGCGAAGTCTTTCTTAAGTAGTCCAGGGGAGATTAATGGGAAGCAGTAAAGAGGGATGGGTAGAATACAGGAATTGACAAACTGAGAAAGCAAAGACTGCTTTATACCAGACTGCCTAAACTTCCTAACGTAGAACGTGAAGCGAAGCATCTTTCTAGTCACTAGCAAGATGTGAGAGGACGAGGAAAGATCGGAGGAAATACTCAGTCCAAGGTACTTGACATTAGATGTAGTTTCAACCTCTATGCCGTCAATGATAGTGGGACCATGTGAGCTAGCTAGTTGTTGAAGGTCACTTTTTCGTCTGAAAGTAAAATTTACTACCTGACATTTAGACGGATTCAGCTTAATACCGTTTGAAGAGGTCTCTTTCTGTGATTTATTTTCAAAGCTGTGTACAATACTACTTGTTTGACGGTGAACAGCATTCGAATCCAGTTAATGAGTGTTTCATCCCATTTACGATTTGTCAGCCGGACGTACCAGCGTTACAGAATGAGTGATGGTGCTGCTAATGAGACTTGAAATAAACACCCGTAGGTCCAGTGATTAAGGAGCTATCCACTGGGCTACTAGGTCACGAGAGATACCTCTTGTGCAGCAGGTATGATTTGAAATTTTTCGCGTGATTATTAGAGGAGCTAAGTGTTTTGAAACACTTATCTCTAATATTATGCCCCATTAGAAATCGTTCAAACTCTAGACTAACTAACTAATTCATATGAGATGAAAAATAAACTAAATGACATTCAACTAGAGAATGATGAAACAATGGTTAGTTTTGATATAACTAGTCTTTTTACTAATATACCAGTCTATATGGCCTTAGAAGCAGTTAAAAAAGAACTAACTACGGATCCTGAACTCAATCATAGGAAGAAGCTGCCCATTGAAGGAATTATTTTAGGGATTCAGTTATGCCTCACATCTACTATCTTTTAATTCCAAGGCAAAATATATAGACAAACAGAAGGTGTAGCAATGGGATGGATCACCAATATTCCCTATCGTAGCAGATATATTTATGGACAGCTGGGAAAATATTGCTCTAAATACATTTAATCCTACTGCAAAAATATGATGGAGATATGTGGATGACACTTTCACTCACAGTGTTAAAAACAGAACATATCTCTAGCTTCTTGACACATATAAACTCACTAGTAGAGGGAATAAAATTCACATTTGAATCGGAAAATGAACAAGGAGAATTAGCTGTGATGTTAGATTGTAAAATCAAACGAATAGAAGAAGGTAAACTATACACTAGTGTTTATGAAAAACCAATGCATTCTGTTAATAGATATTTAGACTTTAATTCGTCTCATCCGTTAACTGTTAAGACAGGCTTAGTTAAGTATCTAACAAACCGAGCCATAGCACTAAGTAGCACAAGAAAATACCTAAATGATGAAATGAAACAGATAGAACAGGAAGCATCGGTGTTGAATAACTATCCCATAAAATTCATTAGGAAGATCAGTAAAGATCAAAAACAAAATAAAAATAATTGTGGAACTAGTAATGATAACATAAATTATAGAGAATAAATAAGTCATCCACTGTTATACCATATAAGGAGGGGACACCTGAGACTCTGCTTAGGATTTTCACGTGATTGTCTTGTTTCAGCTGGGTAGTGATACGTCCTGAATTCCAATGCTGACTACTTCCAAAAAAGTAACTTTGAGTCACCAACTTGCTGTTCTATTTCTGTCAAAGTAGATAAACGAAAATACCAAATAAAAATTCGATCACTTTTCTCACTTATAAAAATTGGATTGATTTCATCTGTGAGATTTCGCCACAAACCAGTACATCAGTTAAGGAATCATTGAAAACCAATGATTACTACTGTTTTATTTTTGTCTGGGATGTCTCGGCAGTGTACACCCACGATGCCCAGCTTGTTGATCATTCAATCACTTGAGCTATAATCAAGTGACTAACAAATTTTAACTTTTATCGATTAATATTCTATCGCCACACTGTCAACCACTGCCCATCTAATGAGGAGAGTCCACTTCACCTTTATATGGGGTGAACCTCATTGGCCAGGAATTCTCAGCAAAGCTTCGGAAAAATCCACCTATCAATCATCACTGAGCTGGAAATTTATATTTAGATTATGGCTTTTAATTGAATTTGAATTAATTCCAGTGTAGAATTCACGAGACACTGGATTCCAACTGATCTAGTGGCTAAATAATCAATAAACTGCTCTCATAATGTGTGATATGGTTGTACGTTCTTCGTTGCTACCTGTAACTTATTAGATTCTTCTCAGGATAAGTAATCCTCCTATTGCATTGCTTAGTCCACTTCTCAAGTGGCTTTCCATCCTCTGAAGATATTTCTCTACATAAATGTGTTCACATAGTACTTATATTTATGTATTTAAGTAGTATGCATCACTATTACTAAATTTAGATTATCTTATCATTTTATTGTAGTAAATGAGTGAGTTGAACAATTCAGATTTTCCACCCAGTGATATACATTTCTTTTTTCCTGTCTTTATAGCAATGCCCATCTCCGATGACACGAAAAAAAATGAGCAGTATAAAAGTTAGGCATAGAGGCCTCAGTGAGGAAAACATGATAAACCTGCAAGGTTTTGAGATTATTTACCTCATTTGCTATACATCCCTTCCTACGCTTTATTCAGATACGATATATTAGCTGAATAAGAATGAAATTGGAAGTAGTCTAGGGGGAGAGACAGAGAGAATTTGGATGTCAATCTCAGCCATTTGTTATCCCAAAAAGAGTTGATTATACGTCACAACTATTGATCGGCTGGGTTTATTGATACTACTTGATTGTTGGCGGTTGACAATAGGAGAGATATTAACTGTTGCTTATGCGATTTTATTGATTTCTCGTTATTTTTGTTTGATTTTTAAATATAATCAATAATCAATGATCAATATGAATGATGATAATAATAATAATGATCAGGAAGTGAAAGCAAAAGATGATCATTATGTTAGAGAGTTGAAAAAACGTACAGAAGATATTGATTTATTGGCTGAGAGAATGGAATCACAAATTAAAGCAATGCAAAGAGCTTATCGTGAAGAGATTATTGCTATTGAAGTAAGACCTTTGATTCTATTCTAATTTTTTTGTTTGATCTTCGACTTTTTTTAATTTTTGGTTTATGATCGATTTTTTTTGATGGCATGAATGAACTGACAAATCAGTTAGAGAACTATGGAAAAACGGGGGGTACTTACTGGACAGATACATCACCAGTACGCACACTCATGACCCCATGGGGGATGGAACATAAGACCTTGAGGCTACAAGGCTAGCCTATTAACCATTCAGCAACTGAGAAGGAGTTCAAAGACCTATGAATCGAACCAATTTGTAGCCATTTGCCTCTACTAAGACGGATGTGAGGAAAAACTACTTCCCGATTATATTGTCTGATGCATAGGAATCACATACTACAAATTTGCAGAAGTCAGAATTCATCGGGGACTGGCTTCTGTTCCAGTGGCTGAGTGGTTAACGAGTTAGCCTTCTGACATGAAGCTTCTAGTTTAGAGCCCTGGTGAGTCATGGACATGCGTATTATGGAAGAGTCTTAAGTTGGGACGAAACATCTATCCACTAATGCCACCCCTCTGCTTGGTTTTCAACAGTCATCTGACTGATTTGTCAGCCGTTCGTGATTTAATTTGAAATACGTGAAAATTAACACTTGAAAACCTGGCTAAAATAGTTTGGCATGGATAATTTTTTGTTTGGAGTAATGGGAATTGGTCATAGTTTGTTTATGTCTGTTATTCTATAACTTACATGTTCCCAGATAATCCTTATTTACAAACCAGTGTCATCCATCCAGACGTTAGTGTTTATGGAAACTGCATTCTATCAGTCCAATTTGCAGTGTATTTATGAAGTTAGTTATGGTTCTTAAAGGAGTCAACTGTCAGCCAAGATAGACCAGTGGTGGCGTCTCTGACTGCAGCACTGGGAGACGCGGATTCGAATCTCGGAGGAGACATGTGTTCGTTGAAGGTTGCAGATACTGCTTGCTGGGACGAGTATTAACAAGTACAAAGTTTGGACAGTCAGGGATTCCTATCGATGGCCTCCAATCTGCTAACAATATTACTTTTTGATATCTTATTAATTCTGTCGGACTATTTTGTGTAAATGTAATCATATATATATATATATATATATATATATATATGGGCTGTTATTTTATTACTACTATCAAAACACAAGCTTGGCACATTATAGGCATTAAGAGATGTACCACACGAAACCTTACAGCCTGGGTGGTGGCTTGAATACTACCCGAATACCTAGGCTAAAGCAGGTTGTGGTTGTCCTAAGGAACCACCCACGCCACCAAGCTTTTGACTTAAACTCTGATCCACAAGGCAGTCAAACAGTGTCTGCATCTGTATTCACATGACTACCGTTGGCTAAAACAAGTGTTCACACACCATTTTTAGTCCGTTCAGAGTCTGGAGCACATGTAAACCATAAATTTAAAATCCAGGTTTTGTCGACCAGCGTGTCCACTGGTCTGGTCCAGTAGTAAACACCACTTCACATTGTTCGGTTGTATGAAGGCAGTGAACAGAACTTACCTGACAGAGGTTAGGCTATGAATACATGACTGTTTGTATGTGAGAAATTCGAGAGGATGACCAAAAATTGTTATAAATGTGCATTTTCTATAGTTTGGTTTGTAAGGTTAAGTTTTGTTTATACGAGTTGATCACGGATTGATATCATTTAGAGAACCATTGAAAACCAGGGAGTACTGGACAGCTGTTTCATCCTAGTTTGGGAATCATCGGCAGTACACACTCACCACAGTGTGGTTCGAACCCAGGACGTTCCAGTTACAAGGCAAGCTGGCTCGTATACCATTCAGCCACTGGGACCCGACGCGATTCAGTGACCAGTCCATGAATTCTAATTTCTAACAATTCGTGATTTAGCACGAGCCCAACCAATGTCGTTGGTAGGACATCCATCCTCACACGTGACATCTGGATGGACCTCACTGGTCACGACTTATCACTAGAACTCACTCCAGGAAACTCTATGCTGTAGCAAGTCACTAGCGAGCATCAGATAAGTAATTTTCTATAGTTTGGTTTGTAAGGGTTAGTTTTGTTTTTGCGAGTTGATCAAGGATTGATATCATTTTTTGAAGTGAAAAGGCTTTTCCTTGGTTGGAGGACTTCATCATCAGCTGACATCAATAACTCATCGAAGAAGACATTGTCAAGTGGTTGCACTATATCATGAGTTGGTAGAAGTTAGAATTCACGGGCTGGTCATTGAAGTGGGTCCCAGTGTCTGAATGATGTATGAGCTAGCTCGTTTTGTAACCAGAAGATCCTGGGTTCCATCCCTGGTGGTGGGATGGCGCGTACCGCTGACGAGTCAAAAACTAGGCTGACGAAACAACTGGCTGTCCAGTACTCCACCTGCTGATTTTCCAATGGTTCTCTAACTGATTTCAGCTAATCATGATGAAATACTCCAAGCAAAAGAAAAAACACTACTTTTATTTAGATAATTAATCCTTTGCCTTTTCGTTTCTTTTTATCTTCTATTTTTAATCAATATATAACAGAATGCATTTTTAGAACAACGGGAAAAGCTGACCAATGAACAGAATACAGAATGGGAAATGCTTATGAAAGAAATTAAACAGAAACAGGTAAAAAAACACCATTAATAAAACATTAACATTTTAGTAAAAATAAACTATTTTCCCAGTAGTACTCATTTCAACGAAGGCTAGCTAACCCGCCAGCCGGAATTTGGTTGGCTTTTAAATCATTGGGCTGTTTGAGATAAGTATAACTGAATTGATGTGAGTGGTTCCATTATGCATAAAATTCTATTCTGATAAAGTCACACAGTGTAGTGTTATACAGTAATATTTACTGATGACCACTTTTTGAGCACAATTTATTACTGCTCATCATTATATCAAGGCGCTACTCGCACACACAACTTTCTTGATTCATTTATATACATGGGTAAAAATTGATGAGTAGATATTTGAATAAAATCAATATAAGATAAAGTACGTTAGGAAATAATATTAGTGCTATCAATCAAATGCAATAAGATGGGAAATAAGACGAGTGTTTTTATAGTAATAATAAGTAACTTGTTAGAATGTTATAATGGGAATTGAAATACATTTTAGCATTATTTATCATCCTCTGATTTGACTGGTGGTAATAATATCTTCCATAGTTCTGGTATTTGCATTGATTCATTTCTGTTGCATGTTTTGGGTGTTGACTCGATGAACCAGGCAGGATTCAGTAATCAATCTCTATCTCCTTCTATCTCCACCTACTTATATTACTTTTTAGAATTCTGACTCTGTCCCTCCCACCCTATTGTGTGGTTGTGTGTTAATGCATGCAGTGCAATTGTTGAGCTTTTCTCCAAATTACTTACCATCATGGAGTCAATCATTGTAACCTTGGCTAAATTCTTATGTTCTGACAGACAATCTGACCACTCCTGATCTACTAGTTTGACCTATGTAGTTGAATTAACTCACAGTCATTGTAAGGTGTTTCGTAAATTGTATTATTTTGTTTAATTGGGTCAACTTACAGAATCCTTTAACCTACAGAGCTTGTCCTACCTGAGTGAGTTTGTATGTTTAAATGCCACCACGCTAATTCCTGCTTTATTAGGAATCTTTAGTAGGGCCTCAGATGTCCCCTCCTTATATGGTAAAACAATAGATGCCTTATGTTCTTTCTTATGTTATCATTGTTAGTTTCAGCATTAATTTTTGTTTTGCTTTTGGCCTCTTTTGATATTTCTAATGAATTTCATAGGATAGTTATTTAACACCAACGCCTCTTCTGTTTGTTTTAATTCATCATTTAGGTCTTTTCTTGTACTACTTAGTGCTACTGCTCGGTTTGTTAGACACTTTACTATGCCTGCCTTTACAGATATTTGAATACCTTAATATGAATATGAGTGGCAATAATTTGTGCTCAAAACGTTGTCATCAGTAAATATTACTGTATTGCACCAGTTTGGAAATCTTCCGCACTCAGCCAGCACAAGGAACAAGATTCGGATTTTCAACATCGATGTCAAGTCGGTTCTTCTATACGGGTCAGGAACTTGCACTGTGCGTGAGTCACGAAAAGAATTTCCAACAGGCTACTTCGGACTTTCATCAACAGCCGCCTTCACTGGCTCCATACTGAAGATCAAATAGCTGGCTGGCCAGAAGGAAGAAGTAACAAGAAACTGTGGGAACAAACCAACAGGCGAGGGCCAATCACTCAACAAATATGTAGGAGAAAGTGGAGAGGGATCAAGGATACATTAAGGAGTCCGCCGAATGACATCGCACGCCAGGCCAATGCTCGAGTAGGATTCAGATGGGAAGCGACAAGTGGGTCGTCGGTGCGAGGGTGACATGGAGGAGATCGTGTGAGGAAGAGATGACTGAGTTTGGTCAATCGCGGACTCAGCTAAAGACGACGGCAGAAGACAGAAAAAAATGATGTGTTGTTGAAGCCCTTTGTTCCACTCAGAACTCAAGGGAATAATAACAATATATTTTTTTATTTATTTTGATTTACAGCTTGATTCCACACCGTATTTTCAGTACAAGTGTGGAATTTTCAGCATGGATATCGGTAGCCCAAATTCCGGCCGACCATAGATATCGGGTGTGCGCCGGCAGGGGATCGAATCCCGAACCATGTGCATGGTCGGCGAGAGTCCTAACCACTGTGCCACCGACGCACAAGTGATAATATACTGTGTGATTATATCAAAATAAAATTTTTTATCCATAATGGAGTCAACCCATTTTTCACCTTGTAGATGGCTTTAAAGGAAGAGGTTGTAGAATTAAGATGACCAGTAATGACCAGGTGTTCAATTGCTGCAATCCACATAGCTCCACTTTCACTTTTTCATTACTTCCGAATGTACTTTATCTTATATTGATTTTATTCAAATATCCAATCAATTTTTACTCATGTATATAAACGAAGCAATAAGGTTGTGTGAGTGAATGCCTTGATAGGATGATGAGCAGTAATAAATTGTGCTCGAAACATGGTTATCATCAGTAAATATTACTATATAACACTACACTGTGTGACTTTATCAAAATAAATTTTATCCATAATGCAGTTATACTCTACCGCAGTGCCCAGGTTCTATCCTTATATCAATGATGTGAGTGGTATTCAACTGCTCGTATTAATCAGTCAATCAATCAATCAGTAGAAACATTTTTCACCTCTGCTTTAACTCGTTTTACTATTATTATTAATAGTATTACTCATTTTACAATGTCTATTATTGCTGAATTCCCCTTTTTGATCATTGTTTGTTTGCTATTAGAAATGACGTAATTGGGATGTAATCTATCATACTTGATAGCTTGGTAATATCTCCTACCCCTTTCACCCTTTTGTTATTATTATTGTTCCGTTGGGTTCCTAGTGGAAATTAGGGCTTCAACTGCACGTCTCAACTTGTTTCTGTCTTCTGCTGTGCAATTCACCTGCGTCCATGTTAATCCATACTGTTTCAATTCCTCTTCACACAATCTCCTCCATGTTACACTTGCACCGACGTCCCACTCGCCGCTTCCCTTTCGGGTTCCACTCGAGCATTGGCCTGACGCGCGATGTCACCCAACGGCCTCCTCAACGAGTGTCCAATCCATCTCCACTTTCTCCTGCATATTTGTTAGGCGATTGGTTCATGTTTTGTTTGTTCCCATAGTTTCTTGTTGGTGATTCTTTCCGGCCATCTGATCTTGAGTATAGGGCAAAGACAGCTGTTGATAAATGTCTGCAACAGGCTGTTGGAAATATTCTTTGTGACCCGCCGACAAGTTTCTGATCCATCCGTATAGAAGAAGTGACTGACTTGACGTTTGTATTGAAAATCCGAATCACTTTGTTGTTGATGCTGAGTGAGGAAGATTTCCAGATTGGTTTCAGGTTGATGAATGTTTTTCTCGCCTTCCCGATTCTCGATTTGACATCCTCGTCCTCCTGCTGATAATGCTGTTAATAGCGATAATTCACTCCCTATTATGTGTATATAACTGTAGAACCCTGACGAAGAGAGAGTTATCGAAAAGAATATTCTTTGTTCAGTGTAACCATTCTTTCTAAAACAATACTATGCCTTAAAACTAATAATTCTTATTGATTAACTTCATTGCACGACTGGTCTAATTTTGATATAAAATTTGATATAATAGTGTAGTGCCATTGATGAGAAACCATCTGGAAGGAATATGTTTCTTCACTCAATCTGCTTTTTTGTACTTTAAATGTATAAATATGAATTTTTAAAAACGAATATGAATCAGTCATAGAGAAACAACATAGAGGAAAATATCTTACAGCTAAAGGGTGAAAAGAACATCGCCTAGATTTCTAGCTAGCTATTTTTCTAGCCGGTCCCAAGCCCGGATAAAGAGGGAGGGTTGGGGGGTGGTGCTAGCAACTCCACCCCCAAAACTTAACCAAATTGCTACAGAAACTTTAACGCACAAATATATTAAAAATACTAAAAATATAAACGATAACCTTATTCTCAACTACAGGAGGAACGGATGAGGATGTCAAATCGAGAATCGGGAAGGCGAGAAAAACATTCATCAACCTGAAACCAATCTGGAAATCTTCCTCACTCAGCATCAACAACAGAGTGATTCGGATTTTCAATACAAACGTCAAGTCAGTCACTTCTTCTATACGGATGGATCAGAAACTTGTCGGCGGGTCACAAAGAATATTTCCAACAGCCTGTTGCAGACATTTATCAACAGCTGTCTTTGCCCTATACTCAAGATCAGATGGCCGGAAAGAATCACCAACAAGAAACTATGGGAACAAACAAAACATGAACCAATCGCCTAACAAATATGCAGGAGAAAGTGGAGATGGATTGGACACTCGTTGAGGAGGCCGTTGGGTGACATCGCGCGTCAGGCCAATGCTCGAGTGGAACCCGAAAGGGAAGCGGCGAGTGGGACGTCGGTGCAAGTGTAACATGGAGGAGATTGTGTGAAGAGGAATTGAAACAGTATGGATTAACATGGACGCAGGTGAATTGCACAGCAGAAGACAGAAACAAGTTGAGACGTGCAGTTGAAGCCCTAATTTCCACTAGGAACCCAAGGAAACAATAATAATAATAATAATCATAGCATTAATGCTGTTTAAATAACATCGAATCAATAATAATAATAATAGCATCAATGGATTACAGTCTGATAGCATCAACATAACACTACACGCTGAATAACAGCAAAATAAGGAAAGATAATAGTAATAATAGCAATAATAATAATAACAGTAATACAAATTCATGAATTTATACAGAGTTTGTGTGACATTAAACATAAATCATCCACCTCGAAACCGAGATCTTCAGCAGTCTTCGTATCGGTCCAACGTATTCCTGTCTTATCACTCCTCATAGTGTGATGCATACAATCCTGTCCATCACAATTAAGAATATCATCATGGCTGATAATAGGCAGGAAGTTTTATCTTACTCCTGTATTCACTTTGAACGCCTCACTGAATGTTTTACTGTGGATCAGTTGACAGGTGGCATTGACAAGTAGGTGATGAATGAGATTGGTAACGACATGGGTACTGCACGCCATAGTGTTGAAGTAGTTTCCAAATTACTTCTCTGTGAACGCTGTCTGGTGAAGGTCTTTTCGAAGTCCATGAAGTTGAGGTAAACGTAGATGTTTGACTGCCATTCTGTACTTTGTTCTGTGATTATGATGATGTGTAGAGTAGCGATTTAATCAGCACATGATAAGCCTTTCCTGAATCCAGCTTGTTCTGGTTGGTGAGGTGGAGTTCTGCATCCAATGCATCTTTTATTCTTTCCAGGATGATGCAACTTGGTATTTCACTTGGAGTGAATTAGGTAGATTAGTAACTATAGTGAAATAACACAGTCAAATGATAGTTATGAAGATGCGAGGGGGGGGTGTTGAACAAGTTTCTTTCCACCACAGATTATTTTTATCCCTCCTACACCTCATAAGATTAATATTATTATGTATTTATTATTATTTCCTTTAGTTCCTAGAGGAAAATAGGGCTTCAGTTGCACGTCTCCATTGCGTCCGTTTCTCTGCCAACGTTTTCACCTGGCTTCACGTCTACCTACATGCTTTCATCATCTCCTCTTCGTATCACCTCTTCAATGTTACCCTGGCACTAACGACCAACTAACTCGCCGCATTCCATTCAGGTTCCAATCGAGCGATGGCCTGGCATGTGATGGATGTCATTCACTAGATGATGGTTTGTCTTCTCAGAGTATGGACAATCCACCACCTCCATTTCTTCCAGCATATTTGTTGCACAATTGGCTCCTGCTGGTCTGGTTAGTTCACTCCCAGAGATCCCTGTTGCTGATCTTTTCTGGCCATCTGATCTTGAGTAGTATTGGGCAGAGACAGCTGTTGATGAAACTCTGCAGTTTGTTAGAAGTGACCTTCATGACGCGCTGGCCAAGTTTCTGATCTGTGTAGTAGCGCTGACTGACTTCACATTTGAGTCTAAAATCCGGATCTTATTTTCATTTTCATGCTGAGGAGTGCTGTTGACCCCCTTCACACAGACTTGAGAGAAACGGGGGTCTGCATTGCTTTCCCAATCCTCACTTTGATATCCTCATAAGGTTATAATTCTTCTTAACTAACAATCACTTGCTAACTTTTACTCGTTTAGTGCCTTGATGATTTTGTAATCAGTTATTTCCACCCTCCCACCCCCCTATACTTAAAACCTATAGAAATTTTTAATGAATTCATCAAAATTCTGTACTCATAACTATATATTACTTATCGTTATTATTGATTTTCTAATTTCTTATGTAAATTTTAAATTTCCCTTACTACTACAGATCAATTATTTAAAACAACACGAAGAACAAGTATTTGAATTTGAAAAAGAATTGAACGATTTACGTACTAAATATTCTGAAGAATACAATGCATTAAAGATATCACTTGGTTCTGAAGTAGAAGTAAGAATAACAATGATAATGATGATGATTATTGATTTTTCATCTTTTACTTTTTAATAAACGAACTTGTTTTGATAGTAATTCAAGGTATGTGAGTGTTATGTGCAACCACAAATCGAATCGATAGTCAGTCAGTTAGCCAGTCAGAACTTGAATCATACAAATATTGATTTCTTATATGTTAAGGCTTTTTAATCACGAAACCTAGGTTAAGTTAGGCTTCTTGCTGATTGCTTCCAACTCTCTATAATAATAATAATAATAATAATAATAATAATTCAGAGTATACCATGGTGATGAGTCACTTAGTGACATGGTGGTCATATTGTAAACCTGACTGATCGATAGAATTCAGTCTGCATAAACAAAGGACTAGACGCATGAAACTGTAACAACAGAAGACAAGGGCCAGACGACAGATTGGTAATTGAGAAAATCGAGAGATATTTATAGATTTTTATGTACATTATTGTCAGTGGAGAAGCAACCACTTCTTATTGGTCGTTTTCTTTCTAAAGGTTGTTATGTACTGGTTGTGGCCGTTTCTTAGAAAGTTAAGCCATATATCTGCGAATCGGATTTGCACACGTTAAGTCTGCTGTGATTGGTTGTTGAGTTCCTTTGTTATTGTTTTTTCTCATGATCCCGATTCGGAGTGTAACACTGATGTAAATTGTTGTTTACAATTGTGGCTTGCAGACAGCTCTCACCACAAATCGATTCAAACAAACTGAACGAGAGAAAATATATGCAATAGAGAGATAGTGATGGAAGTTTTTCGTAGCCCAAGTTTTAAGCAGGCCGCCAAAGTAACGATCAAATTTATTTGGTTGTAGTCTGAATGTGAGAAATCGATTTCTATGTTCTACTGTATAACAGATAAAACTTCCTTGAGACACGCACCATCAGGAAACGTCCCAAAGGCAGGGAAAAGGCGGTTATTATTCTTCAGTATTTTAGCGGTTCTATTAAACCATAATAATAACATCAAAAATCAAATTTACCTCAAAAGAGCCATTAAGGCAGCTATACAGGCAATTTAGGTTTCTAAATACATGCAAAATAAGTACTGTGGCGGTGGTGTGATACAAGCGATGTGTTCCAACGGAATATTATTCTCACAAATTCCCACAGTTCAATACTGCATTAGTAACAGAATACGATATACTTATTTAAATATTCTGTTTCATGTCGTTTAATGTGAACCAAAATCATACGCTCAGTGATTGGTTAAAGAATATAAAACTGTATATATACATAAACAGCAGTTTGATCAATTGAAAATATACCTTTGCTTCCATGTCACCCCTTCCGCTGTTACAATATCATTAACCATGAGTAGCACGCATGGGTTACGTGAACCATTTAGTTTGACCTTTCAATAGATTCCCTTTATGAGGAATTAGGAAAATTTTTTTTAGCAGGTATTAAGGAGAGTTTCCCGGTGTAAATTAGGTTGTTTATTTTCAAGTGTTGGTTTGTAAGGATTTGACTGATTGGTTACAGGATTTCATCATGAGCTGATATCAGTTAGAGAGAACCATTGGAAAACCTACAGGGAGTACTGGACAGCTGTTTCGTCAGCCTAATTTGTGACCCTTCAGCAGTACGCACCCGTCGCCAGGGTTTGAACCCAGGACCTTCTGGTTACAAGGCTAGCGAGCTGGTAGATCATTGGGCCACTGAGTACAGCAGGTCGCGTGTGAGGACAGATACTCGCCGGAGACATTACCTAGCGGTCGCGCTACGTCGTGAACTGGCTGGCAGAAGTTGGAATTCACGGTCTGGCCATTGGATAGGGTCCCAGTGGCTAAATGGTCCAAAAGCCCGCTAGCCTTGTAACCAGAAGGTCATGGGTTCCACCCCTGGTGGTGGGTGGGTGCGTGCTGATGAAGAGTCCCAGACTAGGACGAATTAACCCCCAATACTCCCAGGTTTTCCATTAGGTTGTTTATATTATGTTTAAAAATACTATTTCTTAACAAATCTACAAGTTTTAAAGTTTTCCTGCTCTCATTGGTTGTTCAGAGTTACTTAGAATATTCCTGTTGGTAGCTGCCATAGTTTCACGGTCAAAGTTCAACTTTAGACACTCAAGAGACGCGAACACACCAATGACTTTGAAAGAAGACATAGCATTGAAGGGTAAATTTGATCCCTTACTCATTCCTAATCCTAATCTATTCCTAATTAGGTTAACGTAACCTTAACCTGTTCCTAGCCTAAACCTAACCGCCTTTCTGGGGCTAAGATAAGGCAGTGAAACCAGTTATATGATATCATATTTATGAAAAACGTGAACCGATATTTTATTAGTTTAAAGTTAGGTAAGGGATACGTTAGGATAAGGGTAAGGTTGGGGATAGATTAGGGAGATATCGTGGTTGATTATGGATTGATCAGGGTTAGACTGGTAACTCAAATTTATTTTTCAGTTTAAGCGATCGTCTCAAGGTTTTTGGTGGCTTTTGCGCCTATTGGGCGTCTATTCTTTACTTTTTCCCCATCTAACTTTGATATTTAGTCATGGAGGTTAAATCGGCTGGTTTCGTTTCTTAATCATTATGATTCTGATTGACAGTGGAAGACTTAGCTAGCCAGCCAATGTGATAATATTGAACAGACAGTTACGTTTATTCCTCCATTCATTTTTATGGCTGCTGGGCATTTCTGATTGGTCCTGGTGTCAGCAAACTGAAATCAACCAATCAGACAACGTGTTAGTTGTCTATAGTAAATTAATTAGCTAGTCTGACGCCTACACACCTGCAGTAACTAACAGATTCTCTGATTGGTGGACTTCAGTTTGTTGACGTCAAGACCAATCAGGTTGAAGTTAGACTGTAGTAGCCACCTCGATCGACCTAACCACTGATTTTGAGCAACTGATCAAAATAAACCCCGGCAGACAACTTCTGCCTTGTCGTGATGGTCAGGCTTGAATACAGCAGTGACTTAACAAGCTAAACTGACTGCAACTCGTGTTCCTGCAGGTCTTACCATGCCAAGAAGGTTGTTTGGATGGCGGTTAGACTAAAAGCAGTTACTATGGGGTACATAGGTTTCAGAATCCAATCAGATCATATGGCGTATGAACCTGTATTGGTCACCGACCGGCAACCATGAGAACGTAGCTCCTGATTCTGTTTCGCTGCCCTGCAGATTAGATTCCAAGTCAAAGGCTCCGGGGGAGGGCTGGTCCCTAAGGACAACCACCTGTTTCGGTCTGGGCTATTGGGCAGTATCTCAACCCTCACACAATCAATGAAAAATGATCAAAATTAAGGAGCAGTTTAAGTCTCAAAATTGTTAAATTGACGCTTACAGATCCTGGTTTCCACAGATCTGTATATATTTCTGATGTAATGTACCTTGAAATCTTGTTGAGCTTTCGCCGCATATTTATTTCTGAGTAACTCCAATTAATCTTTTATTCACATTGTAATCAAAAAACACTCAATCTTCGTAGAACTCGTTATACAAATCCAGGACAGAAGGTATAACTTGATTTAATTGCACGATATATGACTTTAGTTGATTGTCGAAGGTCCTGTACTGGGGTGGATGATATAGTTTAATATCCCCTCAATAAGCTGATTAACGACTTACATTTTACTGATGTACATTTAGATATTTAGGTTTGTGGAGATTTGGATCAGTTTAATTTCATTTGTTATATTTCCGTCACGAACCAACAGATTAGCTAGAGAGATCATTAAAAGCCAGGGAGCACTATTTTATATGTGTTTCGTCCTGTTTTTGGACTCTTCAGTAATGCACACCCATCACTCCGTCAGATATCAAACTCCGGACCTTTGGGTTACGAAAACAAGCTCAACTATGTCACGGGGAGGTGATCTTTCATCGAAGGCATTGATGAAGGTGGCGCTATATCATGCACGCATTGACAAAGTCAGAATTCAGCAGGGGGGGGGGAATGAGTGTTCCATATTAGTTTGTTTATTAGATTTATCACACAGTGAAACAGTATTATTTACTGGATGACAAAGTTTCGAACACATCTGATTATTGTTCATAATCATTTCATCAATTATAATCACACGACTTCGAAACTTGAGTTTTATAGTTTTCTTTGTTCTCTCCTATTTGTCGTCGTAGGCATGGTAGTAGAATTTTCAAGATATCTGGCTGGACAGGTGTTGAATCATTCCTATTACACGTATTCACTCTCATTTGATTCGATAAACAAAGCTTCCGTTATCAATCCCTCCCCCCACCCTGTGACATTAGATTTGAAAACTGTCATCTTATACCATCCATCCTATTGTATGGTTGTGTGTAATTGCATGTAGTGAGTGCTATAGCTGAAGGCTCCACGGGATCCTTTAAAACAAAACAATTTAGTTTATCTAATACCCCATTGGAATGATTGTCAGGTCAAATACATAGGGCAGAGTAGTAGAACAGGTGCAGTCAGACTAACCGAGTATAAAAACCTAGCAGCAAAATTTAGATTAGTTAACCCGAATAAGATAATTCCCCATAGTTGGTTTGTAAGGGTTGGATTTGTTTCTCCGAGTTGATCACGGATTGATATCAGTTAGAGAACCATTGAAAACCAGCTGGGGGGAGTACTGGACAGCTGTTTTATCCTAGCTTAGGAATCACCGGAATCGGATCCCAGTGGCTGAATGATATACGAGCCAGCTTACCTTGTAACCGGAAGGGTCTGTGTTCGAACCCTGGCAGCTGGTGCGTACTGCCGACGATTCCTAAACTAGGATGAAACAGCTGTCCAGTACACACGGCTGGTTTTCAATGGTTCTCTAACTGATATCGGTCCGTCATCAACTCGAATAAGATAAGAAATCTAGAAAATAGTTCAGATAAAGCACTCACTACATGCAATGACACACAACCATGCAATATGATGGATGGGATAAGATGACAGTTTTAAAAAACTTATGTCACAGGGTGGAGGGAGAGATTGATTACAGCGGAAGCTTTGTTTATCAAATCAACTGCAAATACGTGTAATAGGAATGATTCAACACCTATCCAACCAGATATCTGGAAAATTCTACTACCACGCCCACGACGACAAATAGGAGAAAACAAAGAAAACTATGAAACTCAAGTTTCGAAGTTGTGTGATTATAATTGATTTTATGATTATGAACAATAATCAGATCTGTTCAAAACTTTGTCATCCACTAAATAATACTATTTCACTGACTGTGTGATGCATCTAATAATAAACAAACTTATTTGGAATTTCAGTAAATTGAATATTCCCATAATTTATTCAGATAAAAAAAACAGTTAGAGCGAACAGTTGTGGTTTCAATAAATTCTTCTTCAGGCTCTACAATTATAAATCCATTAATTTAATTTAAGCATACAATAGCCAGCCAGTAAAGGCAAATTGGAATCATATCAGAAAGTGTATTGTGGAACAAGTATAAGATGGAATGGAACAATAGTCAGTTAGTTTTTTAATATGCATGGTAATTGAGAACATGGGACAAAATGAGATGAAGTAATTTGATTTAATTTAATGATGTGTGTGTGTAGATGTATAAATATAGTCAACAGAAAAATACAGGTTTCGAGAACGAGTGTAATAAGGGTGTGTGAGACAATATGAAAATAAACCAACGAATATGGAAGTACTTACTACTACAGTGCCCAAGTTTTACACATATATGAATGGGAATGAGTGTTAGTCCAAGTGGCTGAATGATCAAAGAACTTGGTCTAGCATTCATCTGAAGATCTCCGCTTTTCGACTTCTGATGGGATTTCGGGAGCATGCTGATGAACAGTCTCAGAATAGGACAAAACAGCTGTCTACTGCTCTGTGGTTCCCGAGGAAATTTATCTGTTGATATATGCAATATATATATATATATATATGGTGAGCATACTCTTTTAATATACATATATCTTGATTCTACTTTTAGACATTAGAAAGTCATTTACAAAAGCTGAAATCCACTTATCAATTGAATTTAGAAAAGTTAGAATACAACTTTCAAGTATTGAAACGTCGTGATGAAGAGAATACGGTGATTAAATCAAATCAAAAGAGAAAAATTACACGTTTACAAGATAATTTAAACAATTTACATATAAAATCTGTAAAACAAGAAAAACAATACAGGTAGGTTGGTTTGTTAATAATAATAATAATAATAATAAATAGCTAACTCATTGAAAATTTATCTGATCCACGCTAGTGATTGACTACAGGATGGAGCTGCGATGCCGAGAAAATACATCACACTTGATCAAGGCACTCACTCTACTCAAACTCATGCAGTCAGCCAGCCAGATAGGAGCCTATGGATAGTTGTCATCTGAAGTGGTGACAAATAATGGTCTCCATAAGGGGCGCCAGCCCACTGTCCCCATTTGTGGTTAATTTCATCACAGATATTGTACTAATGGACTTAACCCTAACTGCTGACTTCAGCAACTCAGGGATTGACTTGTTACCAAGGTGGAGGGGGGAATAATCTCCTTGACTTAGAATATGCGGGTGAATAGTCCTCCTAGGAGAGGTGAAGACGCTGACAAAATAAAAAGTCTGCTGAACACCTTGAGCTGAAATCTGCGGATGTTTGGCATGCGATTCGCTCCAGTCGAATATAAGATTATGAGGTTACAAGACTGAAGTGGACTACATTGACTCCTGGCTTAAAGGTAGAGCATGTTGACCACCTGCTTCAATGGGCTCGTGTGGCATTTGGCAACTTACTCTATCTCTAGCGTAGACACAGTATCCGGCTGTCGATCGAAGGACGTGTGTACTGCAAAACAGCAGTTCGCTCGGTTCTACTTTAAGGCTGTGAGTGAGGCGTTGCAATTGAAAGCGGAAGATACGAAAAGACTAGCTGTGTTTGATCATAGGTGTTTGCGTCCCATCTCTCGTGTGAAGTGGTATAATAGGGTGAGTAATAATGAGGCTAGACGTTGAGCGCTAGATAAGCAGGGAAAGTCAATCGATGAAGTTATGAAGTTACACCGACTGAAATGGTCATCGGTGGCCTTCCTCAGCCAACGGGCAATGTTAGCTGACTTACATAGGATTGATGGGGTTGGAAAATAGAAGGCTACTGGTTGTCAAACCAACACATGTCTTCATCAGTCAATGAAATCCGTAAGAGTTAGTTTAAGCCATCCAACCAGGCACATAGGGAGATGTGTAGACTTCCTAACTGTTTGGGGTCATCGGGATCCAATGAACTAATGGCTGGAGACAATTAGTGATATAGCGCAAAATCCTCGTTCTCAATGGTTCGTGCAGATGCATTCACTTTTTGTGATTTATAATTTCCAATAAAATTCTATTGTTCTCCCATATTATTATTTTTTATGCCTTCATTTTCTGTTTATTATCTCTCTTTGTTATGAACCTCTCTGCACTCTATTCTCTTGCTTTGTGTGCAAGATGTGGTGTGGCAAATGGAACTGGTGAACATGTGTTCAAGGTTTTACGTTGAAACCAGTCAGTCAGAAGTTGTATAGAGTTCTAGTGAGAATTTATGACTTATTGGGGTCCATCCGGTCGGGAGTGCGGACAAATACTCAACAGCGATGGCTCTGGCAGGTGCCAGTCTCGCTAAAATTAAGAAGTGGTAGAAGTTCGAATTCATGAACTGGCCATTGAGTGGGGTCCCAGTGGCTGAATAAACCACGAACTTGTCTTGTTACCAGAATGTCCTGAGTTTGAAACCCAGTGGGTAAGTAATGTCGATTAGCGCCAAATTCGGATGGAACAACTGTCCAGTACTGCAGTATTGGTTTTCAATGGTTCTCTAACTGACATCAATCTGTGGTCAAAGTTGAAACATATTCCTACTACTAATAATAAAGATGGTAGCACCATGTGCTGCGATGTAGAATAAGACACGAAACGACAGGTCACTAAAAAATTATTAAAGGCCAGGCATCACTGCTGAACAGATGTTTCGCCACAGTTTGGGTTTCTTCAGTAATATGCATCCATAACCCCACTAAGGATCAAACCCAAGATTGTTTTGTTCTTATTGATCGTTCAGCCACCGAGGTAATTGGAATTCACTTAAGGGGTGAATACGGTCAATATGAGGTGTATAGTGATACCACCTGCCAAAGCCATCAGTAAACATTTGAAAAATCTTGGCTATTGACCATAGCCATTCCATATCTAAAGGAGACGGCTGAACAACTTGAAAAACTATTTGCTTCATATGATATTTCAAGCCCTCTAATTCTCTAGAGAAATCTTTGGTGAATGTCAAAGATATGGTTCCCAAAATGTCACGAAGTAATTGTGTCTACAAGATAAAGTGTTCAGAATGTGAAGTTTGCTATATAGGGGAGAGCGGTAGACAGGTGAAGGTCAGAGTGAATGAGCATAGAGTGTGCACAAAATGTCCACCTAGAAATGATGAAGTAGAATTAAAAAGTCTAGAGAAAAGGTCGGCTATTGCAACGCATGCTATAGACAGTGGACATAAGATTGATTTCGACAATGTGGAAACTCTTGGAAGAGGATTTCATTCACATAAAGAAAGGTTGATCTCTGAAGCCTTGCACATTTTAACCACATCTAATGCAGTAAATGGGAAAGAAGGGATAGACTTATCACCTATATGCCAAACTCAAATGAAGCAAGACAGATGAAAAAACAACAAAGACCTCTATGAACCTCTGTGACCTATATAAAAGTATTATCATGTTTATAACATGTGAATTGACGCTTTTTCCAAATGACAAATGACATACGCTCACACAAAAAATATACACAATAACAATTTGACATTAGTCATTACAGATACATGATGACTGCTTACATATTTCTATTGGTACAAATGTCTATCGACAAGTGACCTTCAAATGAACTGACTTCAAGTTATGTAAAAAATTTTTTGACTATATATTTTGATGATTAATAAAAATCCGAATAATTCTTCTGAAGAAGCTGTGGCTTACACAACGAAACGTTCAGAAAAAAATCTTATTTAGAGTTTTTCTTAAACACGCTGGGATTAGTTTAAATATTTTATAATTATTTATCATCCTCTGATTTGACTGGTGGTAATAATATCTCCCATATCTCTGGTATTTGCGTTGAGTGGCTTCTATTGCATTTGTAGGGTGTAGACTCGATGAACTAGGCAGGATTCAGTGATCAATCTCTCTCTATCTCCACCTACCTATATAACTTCCTAGAATTTTGACCCTGTCCCTCCCACTATAACACTACTGTGGTAGAGTGTATCATATCCTGTTTCACAATTATGAGACATGTCCGGTGATATACAACTAGTTTCTGATTGAACCCCAGTTAACTTCATTCCTAACTCAAGGTAGGTACATTATGAATGAAGTTATGATTAGACTGATCCTGTATATTAAGGAACAGCAATCCATCGATGGAGTAGTGAATGGCTTTCAGCTTACCTGCTCTGAACATGTGCTACATATTCTTCATATCCATTCCAAAAGAAGTGGCTCTCATAGGCCAGCAGCTTAGTGGATAACACTTTAGTCTAGGTTTGACTCCCATTGGAAATAACATCACTCACTGAGGAGTAGGTGAATACAACTGAAGAGTCTTAAACAGGACGAAGTGTGTGAGTGTGTTATGATCTACACTGCTAGCCACTATCAAACATATGACTTTGTATAACATATTCCCCACACAAACGAAGCTGCTGCACGGTACTTAGATCACCTCTGTGTGACTACCTGTCAAGCACTACTCGTTGGTGTGAAAAAAGTAGTATACAACTACTCACACAAATCAATCAGTAGTATATAGTTTGATGCATTTATGCTCGGTTTCATAATTACCATCTGGGTAATTTCGGTTTCCAGTAGAAACTGTGGAGAAATTTCATCTCCTAATTAACAAACTGCAAATTTGAAGAGTCGTTTGTCTAAGTCTATGAAATCCAGTTGAAATACGACTAATCTGCTGGAAAAGTGTTAGACGAATAAGTCAAATATACCGGCGATCCAACAGTAGAATGCTCATTCGCCAAGTGAGATATCCGGGTTTGACCCCTGATTAACGCTTTACAAGGTAATAATAAACCCAGAAAAAAGAAGGCTTAGGCGCAAGGCTAGCAACTTCAAGTCATAAGAAAATGATATTGCTATTCAAACTTCAAGCATGTCGTCTTATGTTTCACCAGGAACCTAGTTAGTGGAAAAAAAGGAATCATCAGACTAAGGCATAACATAAAAGTAAAAGTTGCTTGAGTTGCTAAGTTTTACTTTTGGTGAGATGTTCGACTTCTATTTTTACCTGTTTATCAATGCACTTAATTTAGGACACGAGTTTCAGATAGACAAGATGTTACGAAATAGGGTATCAGGTGCATCCAGTTGATGAGGCCAAGGGCAGGAAGAAACACACACTATGGGTTTTATCAACCAGAATATATTTGGTTTTCACAAGTATTTTTTAACACAACACTTCATTAGAAGAAAGTAGACTATATTCTGTCTTCAGAAGTCCTTGCATGAGGTGTATCTAAAAAACTAGCATTGAGTATATGCGTTGCAGGTGGAACACAGGGCTTCAGGCATTAGGCAGTGCCATTTTGATTTTTATGTAGGGTGACACTGATGACCCGATGCTCAAACCCTACCTTCTTTCCTGGGCTTATCACCAGCCATGAAACGTACTGTGAATTTCTTTCAAAAGAAATTCCGGACAATAATCAAACGATTATTAAAACCACAAATTGAGTGACGCGTAAAATCCGAATTGTCTAAAATACAGTACTATATTAAATATAAGTTGTGAAATATAATATAAAAAACTCAATTGTGAGGTGTATGTGGTCGAATGCCGTCAAAAAAGCGTCAATAGGTAAAAATAGCAGAACTATGTCAAAGACAATCCACAGCCTTTCACACAACGCGCGGATGCCAGACACAGAATAAGGGGATACGAGTAAACAACGATCAACAGTAATGAGTACATGAGCAAAACGTATGTAGCAAATAGTGTTCAACTATAAGAAAATAATTACTATACGTCAAATAGAGCATAAATACATCAAGTGAGTTGGACTTTAATAGTGAACAAAGTCATGTTTAATAAGTAAAATATATTCATACTACTTACTAATGGTAAGTAGCATGAAGTTAAACACAAAAGAGAGAATAGCAAAAATCAGTTAAGAAAGGAATTAACAGGTAGTTGGTCTGAAAGGATTAGATTTGCTTTTACGACAACTGAGAATTAATCTGATGCTCGCTAGTGACTTGCTACAGGAAGGAGCTTCGTGGAGTTCTAGTGAGAAGTAGTGACCAGTGAGGTCTATCCAGTCAAGTGTGAGGATGGATTTCCGACCGTTGACCACTGATTAGTTGGCACCAGTCGCGCTAAATGCATCACGAATTGGTAGAAGTTAAAATTCATATGCTGGCCATTGAGTTGGGTCTCAGTGGCTGAATGATATACGAGCCAGCCTACCATGTAACCGGAATTTCCTGTGTTCGAACCCTGGCAGTTGGTGCGTATTGCCGACGATTCCTAAACTAGGATGAAACAGCAGCTGTCCAGTACTCCCTGGTTTTCAATGGTTCTCTAACTGATATCAATCCGTGATCAACTCGTAAAATTAAAAGGTACTTTAGGAGAAAGTCAGCTTCAATCTAATCCTAACCTCCGGTATGCCTGCCTAGCTTCCTGTTATTGCTTCACTAACGCTATTTGTATTCTCTAGTTGTTCAATTAATTACGTCGATCACTATCCCCCTTATTTTTTGAAATAATTTTTTATTGTAGTGCAGAAAATGAACAATTAACTGAAGATTATAAAAAAAGAATGGAAAATTATCGTGATTTACAAAAGAAAGCCAAGTAAGCGAAAAATTCCTTTAAACCCTTTATTCTACTCAAATATTTTAAAAGTAGTTAAATATTTCAAGCAAAAATAATGGACGTTGGAAGCTACCAATACCTGGCAATAACATGAATTGATCTGGATTTCGAGTAAGTAATCCTCACCATCTGTAGGATCCCTTAAGTTAAGGTGTGAGGAGGAATACTCACCAATGACTTCGGCTATCAGTTGCCTTATATGTGTATCGGGAACTGGCAGAATTTAGAATTACAAGAAAAATAAGACGTAAACAACGGAGAAATGATTTAGAATATACCCATAAATTAATAAACAACATATTTGAAGACATCAGATTTACTACAAGAGAAGAAGAATTAGATAACAAAATCCCATTTTTAGATGTCTTAATCAGGAGAACCAACAAAGGAGATTTAGAAACACAAGTAAAAAGAAAATCAACGCACACAGATCAAATACTCAACTATACTAGCAATAATCCAATTACTCACAAAGGAAACTGTGTGCAGACATTGTTTAAAAGAGTTCAAACACATTGTACCACTCCAGAGTTGAACGGAATGGAGGAAAAGTACCTACAAACGGTCTTCAAAAGGAATGGATATCCCCCTCACAATTTCATCAAAAAGTGCTTAAAATTGAATCACAACACCAACAAGAAACCATCATCAAAGACCACAAGAAAATTCATTCTATCATACATGAGAAATATCTCTGAAATAACAGCTAGAGTACTGAAACCGTTTGGTATAGATATAGCACACAAGCCAGTAAAATCGCTTAATTCGATATTATGCAAACCGAAAGATCCAACAGAAAAAAGAGAGAAGATTAATACCATTTACAAAATAAATTGTATGAACTGTAACAGACATTACATAGGTCAACAAAGTGCGCGTCCCCTTCAAATCAGAATCCAGGAACACATATCAGCCGTGAAAAGACATGATATGTATTCTTTAGTATCAATGCATACAGACAATTATGGTCATCAATTTGATTGGGATTATGTCAAAATCTTCGACAGAGGAAACACCAAAAGTGCAGTGAGGGAATTCCTAGAAGCCTGGTACTCAAACGAATATGCAATTAACAAACATATTAATATAGACCAAATATACCAACTAATGGAAAGTAAATTATGTGACCAGAAAGTTTAAAATCCGAGTCAATAAAAAGACGACCAATACACATATGTAAAGATGGTTACCGGGAGACGCAATTCTATCACTCATGGAAAAAATTTCAATCAGTTCACTTTATGCTAAAAACTGCGCTGAAGGGGGATGCTGTCCGGAAGGGGGACGACGAAAGCTCCGCAACTGAACCAACCAGCTCCTCAGAGAACAACTACTAATTGTAAAATCATCCACCTGAGCTACAAATCTTCTCTATTATTTCAATCACAAACTGAAGCAAATTTGCATAAAACTACTGGTTGACTGACAGATGATGAGGTCGGCTATAAACGAGTGAAACGGTGGTCCAGTATTTAGATCACCTAGATGTGGCTAACAAGCTCCACTACTGGTTGATATGATGAGGGGTATCCAACTACTTATTTCAATCAGTAAATCAGTAGTATATTGTTTTATGCAAAAAAATGTTTGCTTTTTTGATTACCATTTATGGTGTCAAGCAGATCACAGACTGTGGTGATCTGAATAATTTCAGCCTCGAAAGAAAACTGTGGAGGTGAAATTTCACTCTTTCGAACTGTGTACATAACAGATTGTGTTAATCAATTCGCAGATTGTGAATATAAACACACAGGGACAAATAGACAGGGCCAACGTAGGAATTCCGGTTTATATTAGTTTACCATGGGGCAGATGAAGAAGGATTAACTGAACGAACTTCTTGTGGATACAAATCTTCAGCAGTACAGATGAGTCAGACATGTGATGATTTCGGCGGTTTATTTTTTTTGCCTTATAGATAACTTTAAAGTAAGAGGCTGTAGAGATTAGGTGGTCGATATTAACTTACAACTCCACTTCCACCTCTTCATAACCACATAGAATAGTGTCATTCCACCCCATTGGACAAAACCCCATGTTGAACGACTGATATACCTAGGTCCATAGGGGATAGATGAAACCGTCCAGCGTAGGATCTTCCGTTCTGTTCACTCACTCTGTCAAACCTTCAACATTCCTTCCTACATGTATCGTGAGATATATATATATATTGTAAGCGCAATATCGCTTGAAATTAAGTCACGCGTAGGTAAAGGCTATCCCGGTCCAGAACAAACAAGTAGCCGGTCACTGTTTCTACGGTACTATTAATAAACAAATCAATAATTATATATACAACAAACCTTAACGATTTCAAGAGTACAATACACAATGCTTAACAGAAAGCAAGGTACCGCTATCAGAGCGGTATAACGTTAAAGCCGAAATTGCGAACTAGCCGGAATCAGACATGACCGTTCAGGTAAGTAGTCAGTAGAAGAATGGACCCAAGTAAGGCAGGGCATAGAACAGAGAGCGGTTAAGAGCTAGACAGAGCATAGGCGCAAAGATAGAATTTAATTGGCTACTTAACCAGGTAGGCTGATACAGATGAAGATCAATAAATAAGATAAACTCGACAGAATAATACAAAGTAAGACATGGGTCAGCAAAATAACAGTTCACAAAAATACTCTGATTGGGTCATGAGTTCAACTGTCTGACTAAACGGATCGATGTAAAAAACACACACAGTTCATTAAACAAAGTGGGATAGACACGTCAGGCATGGATAATTGGGTTGCAACAACGCTAGGCTGATCCGGGACAGGTTGACTTGATTCAAGGATGGGAAATGAATTGATCTTACATATATCAAGAGAATTATAGTATGATGGTAGTCATGTTTTTGAAGGTATGAATTGATTTAGCCTTCTAGGCTCTATCACACAGCATATATCACTTGTGGGCTGGCCCTGAAACGAACGAAGCAGCAATCCAGCTAGTAAGCACTACTGTTTAATGTGAGTGATTTCCAACAACTCATACCATTTCTTCTATGTGCTGACACCTTGTCAACCTGTCAACATTCTGTGTTATAAGTATTCTTAATAACTTACTACGTTTATTCTCTTATATGTATTTTATATATGTGTGTATTTTTTGTTTTAACCAAAGGTTATTCCTTGATAATGATCGTAAAAATTTTCATGATATTTGGATAATGAATGAAGAGACTTTAAAGAAATCAGCTAATCGTTTATTGGATGCTTATCGTATTATCACTGAACAACAACTTGGCTTGACATGGAATCCACCAGACACGTAAATCACATTTTAACGGTGTTTTTTTGTTTTTGTTTATTTTGTCCTTTGGGTTCCGAGTGGCCTTCAACAACACATCTTCATTTCACTCGGTCCTATTTAGCTGGCTCCACAATTTACCATTAGGTTTCATTCCCTCCTAGCGTAATCTACTTATCCTCACACGATCTCCATAGGATCCTTGCCCAAATTTTCATTCTTCATTCAAGTTCCACTGGAGGGCCTGTCGCATGGTACCACTCAGTAGTCCTCTTAGCGCTGGTTCAGTCCATCTCTACTTCCTTCAGCATAGGACGTTCGTCGAAAAAGATATCCCGCCGTATTTGAAAGCACTTCCTAGTTTAGCTGAGCAAGGGTGAACGTAGAGGTATTAATCCATCGATATTGCAACGTATTATAGATGCTGAGCAAACAGTACCTGATACATCGTTTAATACATTCTACAAATTTCGACAAAGTTTACAGAAAGGGACACGAATACATTTGCTGTGTATAGCAGAGGCTTTGGTATTACATAACATACATAAAGTCAGAACTTTGTGTAGAAGAATAACTTGTACGATCTCTTTCGTTACCCTATGGTCTTGATTTTACTACGTAATTCACATTTAAAAAACTTTATTATCCTTCTTTATTCCATGTTCCATTTTTAGAAAGTAGAAGGATTGAGCGAAGAATTATTTACTTTTCAATTAAATTCACACAGAGGAGGCGAATCTAGGTAGTTTGTCCTTATTTCTCCAAAGTAGAATAGGGATGGTAGTGAAAAGAGAACGAACCTCTGCTGCTCTTTCAACTGCATTCTTCAGGTGCTGTGTTATGATTTCGCTGATGTGGTCTCCGAGGAACTTCAGTTTTATGAACATTGGTTTTTTCGGAACTGTTGCCATACTGACTCTCCTAGGTGCTAAATTCATATTTTTCTCAATGAACTTATCTGGATAACCATTTTTTCTAAGTAGTTCCTCAATAATTTTAGGCTCCTCATTGAGGCAGTCGTCTGAACAGATTAACCTACCTCTATGAACCAAACACTTTATCAGTTTACGTTTATATTTTAAAAGTACAAAGCTCAAAAAAATAAGTGTATTGCCTTGTTGTTGTAGGTTTCCTCAAACACACTGCTTATTATTGTGCTATCTTATTTCCTTGTCTTGAAGATGTCTAGGAATGAGATACTGTCATTACTTTCTCTATGGTAAAATTTGTTGTTTAATAGGCATCATTAATCTTGTCAAGGATGTTCATTGCATCATTCTCGTTTTTTATAACCAGAAATGTATCATTCATATATTGGTAGTAGAAATCCAAGTCATTAATTACTCCTTTTAGTGGTCCATTCTGTAACTTAGCAAGGAAAAAATCAGCTAGGATTGGACCTAATAGGGAACCCATAGCTACACCATCAGTTTGTCTGTAATATTCCTTATTGAATAAGAAATGAATATTCATTGAACATCTGAAAATAAGTTCCTTCAAGGAGGATACAGAAATGCCGATGTTTATGTTTCGCGTAGTAATTTCATCACATATAAAATCCACTGTCTCCATTAACGGTACATTGGTGAACAAGGAGGAAACACCAAGAGATTTTATAAACTTGTTTTATTTCATTTCACTTCACTTGTTATTATATTCTAACATTTTATCTAGTGTACAATTTCGAAAACATTTCACTCATCCCATGTCGTCTCCATCATGTTATATTCACATATTCACTTTTCCAAAAGTACAACTGTACAGCTATGGAAATGAAATCGTAGAAATAAAAAAAGCGATTTTCTCCGTTGAATTCTTTATTTTTATGTCTCAATGGGGATTACTAATTTAATTCTACATCCGTGTTGGACAATAGGTTCTTGGTTAACTTGTGTTCCACTGCTGGAGTTCCTTGTTGCTGCTTATCCATTCTCGCCGGTTATCTGATCTGCAATATTGAGTCAGTGAAAGCAACATTGTCGATTGAAAATGCAATACAAATCTTGAGTCACTCAAGGTTTCGAAACAGTCACCACGGGCTAATTAACCTTGATGCTAATCAAATCTTTAATTCAATGTCAAAAACTGATAAAAATGTTTTTATTTTGAAAGTGTTAATATTCATATATATGCATGAAACTTGGGCACTGTGGTAGAGTATAGCTTCATTATGTATAAAATTTTATTTTGATAAATCACACACAATGTTGTTATACAGTAATATTTACTGATGCGACCACGTTTCGAGCACAATTTATTACTGCAGCTCAGAATCATATCAAGGCGCTACTCACACACACAACTTTCTTGCTTCATTTATATACATGAGAAAAAATTGATGACTAGACATTTGAATGAAATCAATTTAAGATAAAGTACATTCGGAAATTATATTAATGTTATCAATAAAATACAATCAGATGGTAAATTAGATTTTTTTTATAGTAAAAATAATGAGTAACTTGTTAGAATGTTAGAATATGAATTGATGGAATACAATTTAACATTATTTATTATCCTCCTCTGATTTGACTGGTGGTAATAATATCTTCCATATCTCCGGTATTTGCACTGAGTTACTTCTATTTCATGTGTTGTGTTGGGTGTAGACTCGATGAACTAGGCAGGATTCAGTAATCAATCTCTCTCTATCTCCACCTACCTATATTATTCTTTGGAATTTCGACTTTGCCCCATCTTATTGTGTGTGTGTGTGACACATATAAACTCACTAGTAGAGGGAATAAAATTCACATTTGAATCGGGAAAATGAAAAAGGTGAATTAGCTGTGATGTTAGATTGTAAAATAAAACGAATAGAAGAAGGTAAACCACACACTAGCGTTTATAAAAAGCCAACGCATTCTAATAGATATTTGAACTTTAATTCATCTCATCCGTTGTCTGTGAAGGCTGGCTTAGTTAATTGTCTAGCAAATCGAGCAATAGCACTAAGAAGTACAACTAAAAACCTAAACAATGAAACGAAACAGATAGAAGAAGCGCTGGTTGGTGTTAAATAACTAACTGTCCTATACGGTTCATGAGGAATATCAAAAAGGTCAAAAGCAAAATAAAAATAATGGTGAAACGAATAATGACAACATAAGTAAGGAAGAATATAAGGCATCTACAGTAGTTTTACCATATAACGAGGGACATCTGAGGCCCTACTAAGGATTCTTAATAAAGCAGGAATTCGAGTGGCATTTAAATCTACAAACTCTGTAGGCTAAAGGACCCCTGTAGGTTGACCCAATTAGACAAAATAATATAATTTACAAAATACCTTGCAATGACTGCGAGTTAGATCAACCACACAGGTGAAACTAGTAGATCAGGAGTGGTCAGGTTACCTGTCAGAACATAAGAACTTAGCTAAGGTAAGAGTGGTTGACCCCACTCGCGAAGATAAGTAGTTTAGAAAAAAGCTCAGCGATTGCACTGCATGCATTAATACACAACCAGACAATAGAGTAGGTGGCAGAGGGTTAAAATTCGAAAAAGGAATATAGGTAGGTGGAGACAGAAGGAGAGAGAGATTGATTCCTGAATCCTGGTTCATCTAGTCTACACTCAACATATGCGACAGAAGTGACTCAATGAAAATACCAGAGATGTGGGAGATATTATTAATAATTTGTGCTCGAAACGTTGTCATCAGTAAATATTACTGTATAACAACAATGTGTGATTTTATCAAAATAAAATTTTATCCATAATGGTGTTAATAATCGTCTTTAGTTTGTTTTCTTTTTTTCGTATTTTATTTCATTATTTTTATTTTCAAAATTTAGAACATTCATGTGTAACGTTGGCCCATTAGTCGGATCAGTTGATCATATTGTGTGTAAACCACCAGCTGTAATAGCTATGGAATTAGCTTTACAAACAGATCGAAGGTAAATCAATATATTCTTTGATATATATATATACTTCTCGATAACTCCTTTATCAGGTTCTATATTTATATAGTTCATGATGGAGAATTGATCATAGGGAATAATAAAATGACAGTTGCAATGAAGAAAATTTTCTTTTCGACGAAGTCATCAACTAGGTAGCTGTACATTCGTGTATTTATAATAAATGGATGGGAAAGTTCCAGAATAATTTCCGGTCAACGGTCAAATTAATAAAGCGACAATTAGGAATTAAAATGACATATTAAAACAGTGGCGTGGGGGGCGGATAAAACACAAACAAAGTAGCATCATAATTACTAAGAAGATTGACATTATTGTGCAATTAGGGGTTAGATTATAGAAATAACAAAAATAGACAGGATGGTTGCATAAAAAATCTAGTGGGATCATAACTAATGTGACGAATAATTGTTTATGCAATTATGGATTAAATAATCAACTCATCTTCATGATAGTTAAACAGTCTCACAGTGTTATACGGTAATATTTAATGATGACCACGTTTCAAGCACGATTTATCACTGCTCATAATCATATCAAGGTAGTACTCACACAACTTTCTAACTTCGTTTATATAATTCCATTATTTCAGTTCATCGCTTGGTTTGATTGGTAGTAGTATTTTTCACATTTTCAGTATGAGTGATGATTCATTCCTAATGCATGTGTTGGGTGCAGACTCGATGAACAAGGATTCAGTAATCAACCTCTCTCTCCACCTACCTATATTACTTCTTAGAATTTTAACCCTCTCCCACCATGCTATTGTGTGGTTGTGTATTAATGCATGCAGTGCAATCGCTGAGCTTTTTTCTGAATTACTTATCTTCGTGGGATCAATCATTCTGACTAAAGCTAAATTCGTATATTCTGACAGGCAATCTGATTATTCCTGATCTACTAGTTTGACCTATGTAGTTGACCTACAGGGTCCTTAAACCTACAGAGCTTGTCGTATCTGAGTGAATTTGTAGTTTGAATGCTACTCTAATTCCGGCCTTATTAGAACCTACTTTCTGTCTCAGATTGTTATTGTTAATTGTTATTGATAACATTAATGTCTTTTCTCTTAAATGTCAACGCGTCATTAAGATCAAGGTGTGAACAATTCCCATGCTCTACATAACATTTATACCTTTCCAATATGGTATTTAATCACTTTATATTACTATACTTTGACAACAAACTGACCTTGATGTAATTTGGAAGCTCCTTTAATACTACGGAGTGCGCAAAATCTTTATCAACCTCAATGAACAGCTGGTTATGTGACAGTGCCATGTATCGGGTGATCCACATTGGAAAACTCATTGAAGCGTTCGGATTGAATTCAGGAGTGGGACATGGCTGCCTGTTATCACACACGATGAAATTCCTAATTGTGATGGAGTGGATCATGTGTCAGACTGTGCACAGGGAGTGAGAAGACAGAAGTAAGCTGGACCACCGATAAGAAGACTCTAGAAGATCTGGATTTCGCGTGTGGATGATATATGTCTAGTGTCACACAAACTCAAAGATGTGCAAGCAAAAGCCAACAAACTGGCAGAAGAAGCTAGCAGGCAGCAGAGACAGGACTCCAGGTGAACATAGAGAAGACGGAGGTGATGAAGATAATTAAACAACCAACCAACCACCAACAACAACAACAAGAAGCATTGATCACTATCAACATCGTTTTAAATTCCAGGCAATCGGCACGCTTGAAGACGAAAAAGGCAGGTAAGATCTGAAATCAATGTGGAAATCAACTACGATCAGAATAAAGAATAAGATTCGTGTTTTCAACACTAATGTCATATCAATGCTTCTGTATGGTTGATAGACTTGACACGTCGTGAAGAGGATTTCCAACAGGCTACTGTAGATTTTCATCAATTGCTGGAGTTGAACTGTAGACATGCGATGAAGACGTAGTGTTGAAGCCCTATGTTTCCCTCTGGATTCAAGAGTATAACAATAATACTAATACCCTTTACCTGCATAATCGATAAGTACAATACCCCAATGTTTTGTATTCTTCGCTCAATACTCAAGATCAGATGGCCGGCCAGAAAAGATCAGCAACAGCAGGGGGATCTCTGGCAATGAATGAACCAACCAACCAACCCAACAGGAAGCAATTGTACTGTAAAACAAATGTGCAAGAGAAAACAAACCATCATCAAGTGAGTGACATCCATCACACGCGAGGTCATCGCCCCAGTGGAACCTGAATGTGAAGCGGCGAGTTAGTTGGTCCTCAGTGCGAGGGTGACATGGAGGAGGAGGTCATATGAGGAGGAGATGATGAAAGCCTGTGAACAGACGTGGAGCCAGGTGATGAAAACGTTAGCAGAGAACCGAACGCAATGAAGACGTGCGACTGAAGCCCCGTGTTCCTCTAGGAATTAACGGAAACAATAATAATAATAACAATAATAATAATGATAATTATAATAATTTGAATAAAGCATTAAGAAGACAAATTTCGCGAGATGATATCGTCATTTCGTAGTTTCTTTACAACCGCTTTACAACTGCTTTACAACTAACATGGTTAACAATAATAAAATAAAGTTCATGACAATTACTCAGTTAAATAAAAAACACAAAAGTACATACTAATGACCAATCATATTTACATAGGTCATGTAGTCCAGGGTAGGCGAAGATTGAAGTCTATTGATTTTTGTACACACAGTTTAGGCTAATGGTTATCCGGAAAACTTTATCACTTGTCACAGTAAAGAAAGACCACATCTCGAAAAGACAGCTTCGGTACCAAAGAAAGCTATCTTTATTAACTTACCATTCAAGGGCGACCAGATTATGCAGTTGACAGCTCAAAGACTTAGGTCAGCCATCAAACGCACATTTTACGCTGCATCTCTTTTTCTCACTTGCCGAACATTTTCGATCGCTGTACCTACGATTAAAGAGATTTGGACTCTACTTCAAACTGTGTCTACAAGTTCACCTGCAGTTGCAGTGATACCTATATAGGTAGAACCAACAGAATGTTCCAATGTCGTCGGAAAGAACATGTTCCAAAATGGCTACTAAATCATATAGAAAATCACAATGCGAGTAATCTGAATAGAAATCGAGAATCATCCAATGCAAAACACTTATTAATGTCAGGTCACAAAATCAGTATTAATGACTGTTTTACAATTATTTCACATAACTCTAATTCAAGGTTATTGAAGGTGATGGAAGCACTTTGGATTAATCACATTCAGCCTAAACTGTGTGTACAAAAATCAATAGACTTCAAGCATCTCGCCTATGATGGACTACATGACCTATGTAAATATGATTGGTCATTAGTATGTACTTTTGTGTTTTTTATTTAACTGAGTAATTGTCATGAACTTTATTTTATTATTGTCAACCATGTTAGTTGTAAAGCAGTTGTAAAGCGGTTGTAAAGAAACTACGAAATGACGATATCATCTCACGAAATTTGTCTTCTTAATGCTTTATTCAAATTTATCAAAGGGACTAGTTGTTTTAATAATAATAATATTTTGTATATTGATATTAAACTGCTGATGAGTGAATTCAGCTGACTAGAACCAAGGAAATATATAGTGACGTCATTTTATCTTGCTCAGTATGTTCTTCATTCTTGTTAGAAGAGGAATCAATCTGATAAGAATTATCTTTTAATACTACTGTTATTTTATTATTATAATCATAGGCGAATTCACAGTCCACAAGATGATACTGTAGAGAATACTGTGCCGACATCATTGAAAGAAGTTTCACCAGAAATAGTCAAAGAATTTTTACAATTATTATGTTATGAACCAGTAAGTCGCGTCTGTTTATGATTACTTCTCAGTCAAAATGCTTGTCAATTGAACAAAATATTGAAAATATAATTATGTAATTATCTGTAGAAGGCTTTCTCTCTTCTTCTTCTCCATCTGGTTTTCGTTCTAAGTAGCATTTTCTTAAATGCCTTCAGAAGCAAATAGAATCTTCAGAACCCATTAATGGTGAGAACAGGCGGCGACCTAGCTCCTATATTGCGAAACATATTATATGTATATACATATATCAAAAATGTGCCACTTTATAGAAGGTATGTAGATGATATTGTAATCATCAGTGATAAGTCTTGTTCTGCCACCTCAATTTTAAATCGAATGAATGAAGTTCAGAATAGCATATCACTTACATCTGTCTGTAGAAGAGGAAGATAATTGTTTATCTTTCCTAGACATATTGCTTAGTCGACGGCTTGATGGATCAATAAAACGATCTATTTATAGAAAACCTACCTGGACAGGACATTATCTTAATTATCACAGTTTCTGCCCTGTTCGGTACAAAAGAGCTTTAGAGAGCGAGGTGCCTCTTCAGTAGAATCCAACGAATATGCACTGAAGACACACTTGATGATGAAGAAAGAAATTTGACAGAAACTCTGTTTGACAACAATTATCCAAACAAGTTCATCAGGAGATATAAAGTAGTCACAACACTAAGAACCACTCTCCAACTCCCCGCTAGGGAAGACGCGTACATCAAGCTACCCTATATAGGGCATCATAGCAGCTTGATAACTAGACAAAGACTGAACGCTGCTGTTAAAAAGACTTTTAATGCAACTAATATCATAATAATTGAGAATGCGAAGCCAATATATCTATCTAAGCCCTTCGAACATGCGAAAAATGATGTCACATCTCACTGTATTCACCGATTTGAATGTACATGTGGACACAGATACATAGGGAGGACTCATCGATCTTTGCAGGTAAGGGCTGGCTTCAGAGCATATTCCTAAATGGCTCCAGAAACAAATGGAATCTTCAGAACCCATTAATGGTGAGAACAGGAGACCTAGCTCCTCTATTGCGAAACATATTATAGAGACAGGACATAAAATTGACGTTAACAGATCTTTTAAACCTATCTATAAAACGTGTTTGGGGCGTATCCTAAAGTTTGTGGAAGCCCTAGCTGGCAATTAGAAAGTTTAAACCACCTTTATGCGATCAAAGCAACAATTCGTCATCACACTAAACCTTCCTTGGTAAACTTTGTTTTGATACTAGCCAGGACAGATGTACTATTACCTCTGTTATTTGGTTTTGTGATCTTCATTGTTATTTTGACCTTCAATATGTCCTTTTAACTTGACCTATTTTCTCACCTCTTAACTCTTTAGTAATTTCATATATATTCTTATGACAAGTCTGTGTGTGATCAGATTGTTCGAAATGTGTTGCGCAACTACGTTACACGATTCAGACAAATTACGTCTTCTTATTGCTTTTTCTAAATTCATAAAGGGAACTAATTGTCTGAATTTTTTCTATTTCTTTGCGTTCTGGGGTTGCTAGCCTCACGCCCAACCTCCCCTATTTTCTCAGGATTATAACCGGTTAAGGAAGGTAAAGGAGTGAGCCTGTCTGGACTCGAACCCGAGACCGCTGAATCACCGACGAACAGTAGCAACGTATAGTTGCAACTTTTTTTCATTTTGATTCAAATCTTACTGTCATTATCCTTGGAGAGAGCTTTCAATGCCTTTGGTGATATTATGATGGCTACTGCCTCAGTGTGTTCGGGGTTGTTATCTGTCTGACTGGAGTAGATTTTCGATTCTCCAGTTAAGAATTTAGAGGGTAAACATCCATTCCAACTACTTTCACTTATTTCTAACACTTCCATACCATATGTTCTCATCTCTTTGTCTATCTGTGCAGCGTTGCCAGTCAGCTGTGAACATTGTGTGAACATCCATGTCTCTATGTTGAATTTTACTTGCATTGAAAGAAGGCACTTCAGGGGACTGGCTTTCTGAAGGCTTTCATCAGCTCAAATCATCTCATCTCTTCGGTTCCACTGAAGAATGAGATTATTTTTTTAAAGTGCTTTGAAGTTTATGTATTGACTGGATTGTTTTTCCAAGGTAGGGTCACTAGTTCCACGCCTGAGCTTCCTTCTTTTCTTGAGTTTATGACCGGCAAGAAGACTAGTTTTCTGGGATTTACCAACTGAGCAACAACCTTCTACCTCTGATATAAGAACACCAGATACCACTTTAGTTTTCATCTCTCACACTTATTATCTATTACATGGACAACAGTCTGTTGACCTGAACCGATCGCAGATAGCCTGTCATGAACCTATAACCTACACACCACTTTCCAACTTAGTATGATAATGATTGATTTTGAAGTTTGCATAGAAAAAGTACTTGGACAGGACAGTATACACATTTTCACAGCTTCGTTCCTCCCAAGTAAGAAAGAAATTAAGTGAAGACCCTCAGCCACCGAGTTAGAGCTGTATGCTCAAAAGAAGTAATTGAAGACGAATTAAGCATTACATATACGATACTTTGATCGAAAATAGCTATCCCGAAAAATTTATCAAGAAACACATGACAAAGAAAGAGGAAAAGGACTACTCACTATCTGTAAACAAGAAGCCTCTTTATATATACGACTGCAATTCAAGGGCGATATACCGAGTGAGATATTCACGAAGAAATCGAGAACATCAGTTCAAATAACTTTTAATGCTGGCGAACTACGCGTATTATTCTCTGCACGACTGATGGTGCTACCTCGACTGAGAGATGAAGTACCTATACTAGCTAGCCACTTCATATTGTATCTACCAATTCAACTGCTGCTTGTGTGGAAAGAGTTGTATTGGCCGTTGCTCTAGGAACTTGATTTTTCGTGCTCACTCGAGAACATATCCCACTATGGCTAAGCAAAGGTGTAGTGAAAACCATTAACAGTTCGATATTGGACCATCTGGTGCAAACCGGCCACAAGGCCAACGTGGAAGAATCCTTCTCTCTAATCTACTGGGTGCCTAATAAGTTGCCAAAATCGTCATCGAAGCACCACATGCTCCAAACAGCACAGGCTATTGCAATTCGCCTCAAACAACCAGTGCTCTGTGTTCAAAAGAAGCAAATCCACCCAGCTCCTACTACTGTCCTGGTCTACCTTCAGTAGAGAGTATAAATTCATGAATTTGTAATATTATCCTTCCAAATTTACCTGTCTGATATTCAGCGTGTATTGTTATGTTGATACTATTGAGCTGTAGTCTACTAATATTATTGATTCGGTGTAATTTAAACATTAATGTTGTTCATAATACTAATTCATTCATTCACTATAATGTATATATAACTGTAGAGCATGATGATGAAGGGGTTATTTAAAAGAGCATTCTTGGTTCAGTATCCATTCTTTTGATGATTTTGAAGTGTTGGTTTCCAGGGAATTCATTGATGATCTCAAGTTAGATCACGAGTTGATTTCAGTTAGATAACTAGTGAAATCCAGAGAGTAACTCCTAGACATCTGTTTCATCCTAGTTTGGGACCCTTTAGCAGTACATACTCATAGCACCACCTGTGATGGAACTAAGGATCTCCGGGTTACTTGGCCAGTCCGTTAATCATTCAGGCACTGATACGAAATCCAGTAGGCTATGAATTCTAGCTTCTACTGTTTTGCAATATATATAGCCCCACTGTTAGCCAGTATCATCCCCTGTGAGGCCATGGGTGCGTACAGATGAAGAGTTGTAAACTGGGAGGAAACAGCTGTCAAGTAGTACACCCAGGTGGTTTTCACTGGTTCTCTGATTGATATGTCATCAGTCTCTGATCTAATTTGAAATGATTATGACTGATAGCAGAAGATACCTGACTGAGCAGCAAGTGTGATGACACTGAAAGGATAATAATGCATCATCATTCACATCACAGGGCTTTTTAACGGCTGTAAACTAGGTAAGGTTTACAAATTATCCGGGAATAGCGCATGAACTGCACGCGCGGTAGCTGAACACTATACGCTTGGACAACCGACGTACAAGAACACTAATTACCTGGGTGATGCCAGTACATTCAACTGAAAAGTCAAAAATAGGACAAATTCACTTCCTGGATTCCAATACTTTCCACCGTGAATCAAATATTATTTTATTTATTTACTTGTTTATTTATCTTTTGGGTTTCGAGTGGGACATAGGGCTTTGGAGGCACAACTCTATTTAATTTTATTCTCCAACGTCTCATCTAGATGGCTACATGACTGCCTGCAAGCTTTAGTTTCCTCCAACTCACATGACCTCCTCCATGTTACACATGGACCTATTTTCAACTCATTGGTTCCCATTTATTCGGGTTCCATTGGACGACCTGCCATTTAATGTCACCTGGATATCTCTCCAGTGTATACCCGATCCATCTCTTTTCTCTTCTACGTATATTTTAAGCAGTAGCTTGTCGTCTGATTCGATGTCAGAGTGTTTTGTCCCCAATTCTTTCTGGTCAATCATTTGATCCTCACTATCGAGTGAGTGCATTGGTGGCTCAACAGTGGGGTGCTGGCTCATCACGCACGTGGTCTGGGTTTCTAGCCCCGGTTATAATCCTGAGAAAGAGGGGGATTTGGGCGTGAGGCTAGCAACCCCACCCCGTAAAAACAAAGCACCACTGCTACTGAAACTTCAAAGCGTAAGCTTGAAGCCATTCTATGTTCCACTGGGAACGCAAAGGAATAAATTGAGTGGAAGGGTAGGTGTCGATGAAAATCTGCTGCAGGTTGTTACAAGTGTTTCCGGTGACGTGCTAAATGTCTGAACCATATAGAAGTACTGCCTGGATTGCCATTGATGTCGAAAATCATCACCTTCTTTCTTGTACTAATTGCTGTAAAGTGAATCTTCACACTGATTTCACAGATATGAATGTTTATATTGCTTGCTTTACTGATCCCATCCTGGTTAGTTTTGATATCTTTATTCGTGCCGTCATCTGTAATTGAAATGGTGCTGCACAGCTAAAAGAGACAAGACAGCTTCTTGTAGATTTCTCAAATTGGTGATGATTGGTGTTTGCTGTTGTTCTTTGGTGGTGGTGGTGGTAGAGTATCTTCATCAGTAGTCCGCTCCGTCCTCCCTTATGGCTGTGAGACCTGGCCATTGACAGTGGAAGATATGAAAAGGCTAGCTGTCTTTGATCACAGATGCATGCGTTCTATCTCCCGTGTGAAGTGGTATACTAGGATGAACAATATTGAGGTTAGGCGTTGGTTGAGTACTACGTAAGGAGGGGAAATCAATCAACGAGGTTGGGAAGTTACATCGACTGAGATGGTTAGGACATGTGTTATGTATGCATGCCTAGCAGTTCATTGTCTTTATTGACGGGAAATGTCACCTGATACTGGATCAGGTTGAAAAAGAGCTAGTGGTGGTCAAACCAATACACAGTTTCATCAGTCAGTGAAGTGCGCAACAGTTGGTCTAAGCCCGTCACATAGGGTGGCTGTAGACAATTAGTGATATGACTCAAAGTGGTCGTTCTCAATGGCTGGCGCAGATGCATCTACTCCTTGTGACTCTTATAATACCTGATGAAACTATATTTGTTCCTCGATATTACTATTCTTTTCGCCTCATATCTCTGTTTACTGTCTCTATTTTGCGTTTCTTTTTACTTTCTTCTCTTGCTATGTGTGTTACATGGAGGGAGAGTGGCAACTCAAACTGCTGCACATCTGTGCAAAGTTCTATGTTGAAACCAGTCAGTCAGCCAGTCATCTTCATCACCTCTGTCATCTGTTAATGAAATAGTATTGTGTTAACCTTCAAACATCATCCGAATATCCATAATTGGAGAGACAACATGTGAAGATATGCCAATCATTTTGATTCAGTATGAACAATCACATATGCCTTGTTTATTAGATAATACTCTATAAAACTACTTAAACTAACTTTTTAAATTAATTTTTGTTTTCTAAATGTAGGAATTTTTAATTGAAGAAAAAATGAAACGTTTACTGAAGCCATTAGGACATGAAGAAGAGTTACTTTTACGCTTAGACACCATATTGACAGTAAGTAGAAATTTATTTGAAGGAATCATTTTTCTTTTTCTAATGTAATAGTAGAATTTAGACATTGTGGTAAAGAATATAATAATTCCCAATTATTCATCAACAGCTGTGCATCGTTGGCACATCGGTAGAATTCTTGCCAACCTCGCAGGTGGTTCGTGGTTCGATCCCTAGCCGACGCTGAACTCCTTCACCCCGCTTAGCCAGTAATAAGACTGGTAAAGAGGAAAGGTAGGGCATGAGGCTAGCAACTGCATTACCGTAAAAATAAATACCACTACTACCGAAACTTCAAGCATTTAGCTTCAAGTCCCTTATGTACCACTAGGAAGGTGAATGAATAAAATAAATAAATAATAAACTCAAGATCAGATGGCCAGAAAAGATCGGCAGCAGGGAGACATCTCTGGCAATGAGCGAATCAACCTATGACGAAACAATTGTGCAACAAATATGCAGGCAGAAATGGAGGTGGACTGGCCATATTCTGAGGAAACAAAACATCAAGTGAGGGACATCCATCACATGCCAGGCGATCGCGCGAGTGACACCCGAATAGGAAGTGGCGAGTTAGTTAGTCGTCAGTGCGAGGGTGAGATGGAGGAGTTCATGTGAGGAGGAGATGATAAAAAGATGTGGGCGGACGTGGAGTCAGGTTAAAACGTTGGTGGAGAACCGAACGCATTGGAGATGCACGACTAAAGCCTAATGGTCCTGTAAGAACTAAAGGAATTACTAATATTAATAATACTGTCACTCCCAAAGTCCCGAGTGGGACATAAGGCTTCAGAAGTACACCTGCATTTCACATGCTTATATGGTGTCTTTTTCGGCTATCTCCACAACTGTCCATAAGGTTTCATTGCCTCCACACAAGGTCTCATCCCTGTCACTCTTGGATGCCCAACTCTTCGTATCTCATTTCGGTTCCGTTGAGTGGTGTGCCTGGTGCGCGATGTCACTCAGAAGTCTTCCAAGCGTATGCCCGATCCATCTTTATTTCATTCAGCATATCTGTTTGGCCATCCATAGGTTCTTGGCTGGCTTGTCAACAGTGTTTTTTATTGTGTATCCTTTCCAGACAACTTCCTGATCGTCAGTATTGTGTATGAAATGACAAACAGTGATATGGTGTATTAATAGTCATTTCTTGTCATGATAAATCCTTTCTTGCCTTATTCTGATGTTTCAGTGCCGTAACTTGCTAAGTAACTTGTCTTATCCGTTTCGTTAAGTGCTACTTCTACCCTAGGAATAACATCTCTACCTCTTTGCCTACTAACAACTACATAGAAGTTTAATCTTTTTACAAGAACTTACTTTCATTACACCTTGGTGTTTTTTATCGAGAGGTGGATCAACCACTTTGTTTAATGGACGGGGGATGGTGTTTCATTGCAACTTCACGTTTGTTTTTCTATTCATTTGCCAAACTTTTCAGTTAGAGTATTTTGATACGTTTAAGTAAATGAAAAGGAGATCTGTAGCAAAAACCAACCAATAGGATTACAACCGCTTGCAAGTTACCTTTATTCGTGTTTTGAGACCTTTTGTTAGATGTCTAGCAGCAACCAACATACGTTTTCGGAACCTAGTTCTCGTCCTTGTAAGCATTCATATGTATAATACATCTGAAATCTCGATGGTACTGATGTCACTTCAACGAGTCAAAATTGTTTCACTCAGAGCTGTTGTCAGAAACGTTATTAGTGAACTGTTCTGGCTGTGCCTCATCTATTATAAAAGTGTAGTGGATCCATTATCAGTTACTAGGAATGTAGCCACGAAGCTGGATCATGATTCACCTGAGATGATATTAGGTAGTGATTCAAGGCGATCGGTAGGAAGCGCTTCCTCACCTAAGCTCTGCGCTTGTTGCTACTCGTTAGCAGGCTTTATTCACATCTCATATATCAAAATAATTATCCTCTGATAAATTCAAACCCATATCGTCCGACTCTTCAGGCGAAAAAATTACTACTCGGCTATTCGGGTAGCTATTGGCCTCCTACAGGACATCAATGAACACAGCGATTGGTTACAGGATTTCGATCATCAGCTGACATTAGTTAGAGAACCATTGGAAAACCCACCTGGGAGTACTGGACAGCTGTTTCGTCCTAGTTTGGGACTCTTCATCAGTACGCACCCACCGGGGTTCGAACTCAGGACCTTCTGGTTACAAGGTGAGCTCGTATATCATTAAGCCACTGACACCCGATCCAATGGCCCATGAATTCTAACTTCTACCAATTCATGACATAGCGCGACCCCTAGCCAATGTCTTCGGTGACTATTTGTCCTCACACCTGACCTGCCGCACCCTACTGGTCACGACTACTCACCAGAACCCCAGGTAATAGGGCACGTCGCTAGTGAGCATCTCATTAATATTCAAGTGTTGGTTTGTAGGGAAACAGCTGTCCAGTCATCCCAGGTTTTCCAATGGTTCTCTAACTAATGTCAGCTGATGATCAAAATCCTGTAACCAATCAAATCCCTACAAACCAACACTTGAACAGTGATTGGTTATTGGGGAATAATCACTAATATACTCTCTAACAGTAGTGTGTTTGAATTACTTAAGTAAAGGAATGTAAGTAGTATACACAAGCCTGACAGTGATTATTACAAAATAGTAATAGAGTGTAGTTAATGAAGATTTTAAAGGGAAAGAAATGAAATATTGGGTAGAAATATGAAGACCACAGTTACGTGGTACTGGACATAAATTATCCACGAAATCCGTATCTTTTAGAGTCTTCTTATAGGTCCAACATATGCCTGTCTTCTTGCACTCCACGGTCTGTCACATAATCCAGCTCATAACAGTCAGGAATATTATCTGTGATTGTAGGCAGTCTGGTCTTACTCCTATCTTCATTTCAACGGCTTCTCTGAGCTTTCCATTTTGGATCACTTAGCATGTGACCTCATCATATGGCTGTTAAATGAGGTTGATAATGGCCTGGGATACTCTTTAATGTTGAAGTAGTTTCCAAATTATTTCTCACCTGGCTCTGTCGATGTTCTTTTCTAAGTCGATAAAGTTGAGGTAGACAGCTGACTGCTCTGTTCGAGGATGATGATGATGCGTAGCGTCGTAGTTTGATCCACACATAATTTGCGGATCATTTAACTGGCATAATTTGTTTCTAAGTGAATTTATGAATTTGAATTTCACTTTTATTCCCTGTCTTGTTAAGGATTCTACATAAAGTCTTTCAGACGTTCTCTGTTTGTCTGGTAGCAACTATTAATGCTTTATAAATCCTCTCTTTTCGGTGCGATCATCTCTCTTTGTATATATACTTACTACCACAGTGTAAAAGGCTTACACGCAAACAAATATTAACATGAAGAATGATGTTCCAAAGTCCTGAAATACTGTTATTACTACAATTCATCCCTTGCTTCCGGACTGGGACATGCGCTCCTAGAGACACAACTCCACTGGACCCGAGGCTCTTTGTCATCATTGTCAACTGTCACTATAGCTATCCAAAAGTTTTCATTTCCTCTATTTCATCTTCCGAAGCCCAGCTCTTCGTTGTTTACCGTTCTAGTTCATTTCGACAGCCTATCTAAGATTTCATGTAACACTTTACAGTCTCTTCAGAGTACACCTAATCCACCTCCTTTTCATTCTGCATATCTGTTGAGCAACTGCTAGAATTCTTCGTCGTTTATCCTTTTTCGTTAGTCACTACCAAGTTAGAGAAGGTCTCTAATGATGAAGGTCTACTAATTGTTAGAATTAAGCACATATTGATTTGATTTCATACTTCTTACTATACATGTAACGACAGAAGACAAGGGCCTGGCAACAGATCCTGTATTGAGAAAATCAAGAGATATTTATAAATTTTTATGTACATTATTGTCAGCGGAGAAGCAGCGTCTTCTGATTGGTTGTTTTCTTGCTGAAGGCTATTCTGTTATTGCTTTTGTAACCGTTTCTCAGAAAGTTAAGCCATATATCTGCGAATCATATTTGCACACGTTAAGTCTGCTGTGATTGGTTGGTGAGTTCCTCAAGGTTAAACTTTGTTATTGTATTTCTCATGACTCTGATTCGGGACGCAAATATTGACAATGCTGGCTTGTTCGCAGCCAGCTTTCACCACATACATACTTCTGTTGACCTCATTTTCAAACGCATTGACTGACAATAAATTCGTCTGTCTTTCTTAAAAATGAAATTTCTGTAGGTTTTAGGTGTTCAAACAGAAGAAGATTTAGATGATTTATTTACATACTTTATTAAACAAAATAAATATGTATCATGGAAGAATAGACCAATTCACGGAAGACAACAACAACAGCAACAACAACTAGTTCATAGTGATGAGAAATCTCATTCACGATATGCTCCATCAACAATGACAGAGGAATCAAGTAAGTTGAATGTCGCCTGTTTTCTTCTTTTGTTCCCTCTTTCTCATTATTCAAAAAGAATTTTTTTTTATCTAATTGATAATAGCTACTTAATTAAAACTGGAAAACAGGAGACGCGTTTCGTCCTGTTGAGGACCCATCAACTGAATATATACGTGTAGTTCAAAACGTTAAACCATTATCCCATTAGATTACTGAACCATTAGAACCTCATCTCTCTACTATTAATTAACTGTTTTCTATATTTCCCGTCGACGGATTTCTATGATTATACCGAAACACTCGATCTCTTTTGATATGTTGGTTCCTGTTAAGGAAACTTTGACAATATGTGAAAGTTAACGTGAGATGGTGATTGATAGGGGATTCCACAACGAGTTTTCCATTTCTTTAACATGGCACACTCATCAATAAAATTCACTTTAGAACGCAAATCAATAATGGTATTTCCATCTTTGGGTGTACTACTTACCAGAAGAGAAGAGTGCACTGGATGTGCCTAAATCAACCAAATGAGTAAAAATTATATCTCTTCTTAACCAAATAAGAGAGACTCGAATCTCACACTCGTGGTTTCACGTGTCATTGCGTTATCCACTAAGGGTCTACTGAGGGGTACATGAGAAGTACCTGTTTTCCTACTTTGCATTACCCAGCATTTAAGTCCAATTAGATCAGTCAGGGAGAATTAATGGTCAAAAGGTCTGATCTCGTGACCTGAAGGTCCCAGGTTCGATCGCTGGTGGGGGTCATAGTTGCACACTGGTGAAAAGTTTCAAAGTAGGACAAAACAGCTGTCCACTGTCCCCTGGTTTTCAGCAATCTCTTTAATTGATCTTGGTTTGTGATAACAAACTAACAGTTAACATTAATCCAAAATCACCTACAACCTGGAAACTAGTGGGAAATTTGAACTGAATTCAACAAAATCGGTAAATAGTTTCAAGCTAGGTCATAATAGTAATCTGTTAAACTAACACACTATCATTAGGTTAATATTGTTTCTATGTCCAGTTTGAAACTTGTTCTTAATCTCCCCTTTCATTGACATTTTACTGATTAAAAAAATAAAATAATATAAACCTGATGCTCACCAGTGGTATGCTCTTTACAAGAAGTCATCTGGCGTTCTAGAGTGGATTGGTGACCAGCAGTCTGCATCAAGTCAAATTAAAGGGTAATTACTCGCCTATCATAAAAGCTAGTGATTACGCTATGTACAGCGAGCTGGTATAGGCTGCATTTCATGGGAAACTGCATCAGGTTCCAGTGATTGAGTAGTCTAGAATTTCAAGTTGTAACCAAACGGTTCTTGGTTCGAGCCCCAGGGATTGTCTACCTCTGAAGAGCCCTAAACTTGGACTGAACAGATGTTCAGTTCTCCCTGGTTTTTAATGGTTCTCTGAATGATGTCAGTTAAACCAGTAGGCGGTGGTTCAGTGGTATGATGCTTGCCAACCACGCAAGTAGTTTGGATAAGATTCTCAGCTGACGTACCCCTAAGATCTCACTTAATTTGCTATCGGTAGATAGGGAAGTTTGAGATGGCCTGTTCTTGTAGTCTCATGTTTCAATCAGAATTCAAAAGAATGAGTAGATATATCTAGCTATATGAAATTTTTATGCGTTGGGAACTAAAACTGATCGAAATTCTTTCAATCTCTAGATATGAATGTTAATTTCCTGATCATTATTGGCAGGCATCATGATCCTAAGGTCTTAATTAGCAATCATGCCCTGAGGCAAGGGGTTCTGACATCATTAGGTATGAAGCCGGTGGAAGTGTGTGGTATTGGTTGTCAGTAGAGCTATATCACCGCCAAATGATCGAATATAGAATTCGTGGACCGCTGGATTCTGATTGATCCACTAACCCCGCCGTTAGCGGGCTGGTCTCATAACCTAAATGTCTTCTGCAGCCAATGACTGAAAATGTTGACTATAATTTTTACTGCTTTGTGTTAAACAGCTTGCGCTTATAACCATCATGATTTTAAACGTACATGCTAATGTGCGTCGGTGGCACAGCGGTTGGGACGCTCACTGACCATGCTCATGGTTTGGCTTTCGATCTTCGGCCGATGGATATCTGATATCTATGGTCGGCCTGCGAAATTTGGACTACCGATATCACATGCTGAAAATTCCATACTTGTACCAAAAAATACAGTGTGGAATCAAGCTCTAATCATAAAAAAGTAGTTTAATACGCCTTTGCTTTTCAATGGTCCTCTGAAACATACATTGTTTCGTGGTAAAATTTGCACTGAAATGTTTGGAAACGTTAACTGCCTCAGGTATCGTGTTTGTTGGCCACTCATCAGCAAGGTGTTTTTACAGTCTTGAAAGAATTGACGTTTTCTGTGAGATTTGAACCTGCGTTACTCTTATTGCAGCGAGCTATTCGATATGATGACTGTCCTTATGTAGTGGACTGTAATGGATATGTTAATTGGACATTGTGGCGTAAACATTATCCTCAGTCGTGTTGCTGCTGGCTAGATTACAATGTCTTCACCAAGGTATTCTAGTTGAATACTGACCAAGGCGGCATCAGTTACTTTGAAGTTGGAAATACAACGAACGCTAACAAGTACCAAACAACGGACTGGCTGATTGAATTTTAGCATAGAACTGTATAGAAGTGCACCACTTCAAGTAGCCATACTCCATGTAACACACAAATGAGGACAAAAGAGAGAGAAAAAAGGGATTCAAAAGTACTATAAAAACATAAATGGGAAGGAGATTATCATGGGCGAATGTATCTTTGTCACAGAGAACAATTTTGAACCATATAAGTAATAGTCTACAATCATTGGTTGTTGTCATCCCGAGGACTCCACTACGTATGTAGTGTTTACATCTCTAAGTGACCAAAGACTTCATGATTTGATGCCAGGTTTTGATTTAACCACTCCTGACTCTTTTCTCAAATAATATTTTGTCAGTTAACATTGTTTGACAAAGAAGGTGGTGACCAGGCATTTTTACGATTATTATTCCCTAAGGTTCCGAGTGAAACAGAGAGCTTCAACAACACATCTCCACTTTCTTCTGTTTTATGCTGTCCTCTTCACATAGCCTCGCGGTTGCCTAAAATCTCTCATCTCCTTCAACTGGCACGATCAACTACCAGTAACCTTCACATTGACTACCCTGTCATTGCTCCTTATTGGGATTCTACTCGAGAGATGACCTGCATTGCGCGTGATGTCATTCAACAGCCATCTAAGGGCTAGCCCTATCCATCTCTATTTTATCCTACATATTTGTTGAACGACAGCTTCTTGGTTAGCTTGTTACCATGGTTGCTTGCTGCCAATTATTTATGGCCAGCCGGTCAGCCAGCCATTTGATCTTCAATATAGAACCACTTAAGGTGGCAGCTGTTGATGAAAGCCTGCAGTAGCCTTTTGAAAAATGCTTTCAGTGACACATGAGCAGTGCACGTTTCTCACCCATATAGAAGAGTTGACTGACTAACTGTCTGACTTCACTGATATTTGTGTTGAAAATGCAAGTCTTGTTGTTTATGGTCGCTGAAAGGTGAGTGGAGATTTGCAAAATGATTTGAAATTGATGAAGGTGCAGTATGTCCTTCCGATTCTGACTGACTGGCTGGTTGGTTTTGACATCTTCATCCGTGTTGTGTGACTGTGATTGAAATAATGCTGTCTGTCTAGATAAGTGAATGAAGTGACCGCTTTCATGTTTCCCTCGTTCGTCGTCATTGGCGCCGGTTGTTGACGTTGTTGTTTAGTTTGTTGGCTGGTTGGTCATCTCCATCATCTCCGTCTTCTCCATGTTCGTCTGAAATCCTGTCTTCGCCGACTGCTTCTTCTGTCAGTTTGTTGGTTTCCGTCTGCAAGTCTTCGAGTTCGCGTGACACTAAACACAAATAATCCTCATGCGGAATCCACATCTTCTAGTGTCTCCTAATCTTCCCAGCCTATCTGTTCACAGTCTCAGACATATTCCAGTCCACCACATTTGAGAATATCAGCAGTGGTAATAGGCAGCCTTGTATTACTCATGTGTTCGCTACATAGGCTCGACTGTTGTTTCCATTTTGGATCACCTGACACGTGGCATTGAAGTATGGCTGTTGAATGAGATTGAGGAGGATTCGGACACTTCACGCCATTGTTTTGCAGTAGTAGTTAGCAGATAACTTCTCAGTCAACGCTGTCTGTTAATGACCTTTTCGAAGTGAATGAAGTTGAGGTGGAGTGACATTTGACTGCCATTCTATGCTTTGTTCTATGATTATGATGATGCGTAGAGTAGCGTTTTGATCAGCACATGATTTGCCATTGCTGAATCCAGTGCATTTTTATTCTCTTCAGGCCAGACATGCGTAACACATATGGCTAGCCACCCCAGTCAATGCAGCTTCACAATCAAATCGACTGACTTAACCTCCTTACCTAAGACCCTACGGCTTACCCTAATATTGCTTACCATATTACACTGCATAACGCAAGAAGTAGAACACAGTCACTTGTATTCAAAGATAGCTTGCCTCTCCATATCTCTCCCTTTCAATGGCCATCTGTCGGAGCCATTAAGGAGGACAGAGGGAACTCCTGCACAGTACACTCCACCTTCGGTCAGTGTCAATATTACTAATGACTAGACCAATCACTGTCTATATTGGAAAAATTAGTTTTTCAATTAAAAAAAGTGAATTTTAATTATTTTTTGATTGCACCAAGTAATAAGTTTCTCCTTCTTCTTTTTATTATCTATTAATTGTCTAATTGAATGAAAATATCAATGAATACAGCTCAACCAATTCATACATCCTCATCAAAACTGGATAGTATACACAGTTCAAGGGATTCTTCAAATGAAGCCAATGAAACAGTCAGTTCAGGACAAGGTAAGAAAGTAGAAAATTGACAACTATAAGCAAACTGATTATTGGGCTTATTTTTAGGTAGACATTCATTTAAAATTGAATTAACCAATGGTCATTTGGATGATGAAGTGACGCATTATTCAAAAATAAGTGGGGTAAGTTATAGATTTTTTGTTATACCTGTTTAAAAATGATAAATAATCACTCTATTCCGAATAGGGATGATCTCTTTTGGCGAGAAATTGACTTCCAACCATTGGATCATAGTAGCTAATCATGATTCACACACCAAGGTTTGGTCAGTATATCATGCGATTCGCTCTTGACAGCTGTAAGGTGATGCTACAGGACTAAGCCTCACCAACGCCTAGCCTAAGGATAGAAAGGGAAATGGTAGAATGAGTTGCTTCAGCTACGCCCAGGTATATTGATCTCACTCCCTTTGAGAGGTTTGATCAGATTTTTTATAGGAATTTGAAGGACTTTTCAAATGAAGCTGAGTGCCTTGAGTTCATCAGATGTTCTGTTGCCGAACCATACGCACATCTACGTTCTAGATGTGTTCCGGAGAGCGTTTTACTCAGCTCCACGAAGGCAAGTGGAGCTGGTATTTAAATGCTGATGTGACCCAATGCGAAAACTTGTTTTTCACTGACTGACTGCTGACTGACCGAATTGCTTCTTACAAGAAAGTGTTCCTATTAGGCTGGCGGCGAAGTATACATTTTACTGAGAGATTTTGAAAACTATTTTTGGATAATATCTACTGCTTAACTCATGGAAAATTCCCATTGTAACATATAGAAAATCAAAACAAGTGATTCAGCGAAGAGAATCTTTTCAACGAATTTATCATCAAGCTGTACAATCGTATATATATGGTTTTTAAGAAGTTATATCCGGTGAGGGAATTGAATCATAGGTGTGAATGCATAAAATAATAATAATAATAATAATAATAGTAGTATGAAATGCAATTAAAACTAAAATGTTTGTGATTATAATCGTAGTTAAATGTCAAGTGGTAAAGCAAATTAATGTCATATATAGAATAATTCATAGGATGGATAGAACTTGAAAAAGGGTGTGCAATTATCAGATTAGTAGACAAATCGAAAAAATAAAAACGTTACGTAATATTGTGTGAAATTTGATAATACAGAATTCAACGTTGCAATGCAGAATTGATTTAGAATGACAAGTGGAACAAGTGAAATAATACCGGGGACATTTCAAAGTGGGAGAGGTAATAGTAACAATTGACATAATAAGGAAGACATAAGGAAGAAAACAATATTATTCGCTTATTTAAGCGATTAATATTGTTTTCAATTAGATCTCATCAGGCTTAACTCTAACATATATAAGTTTACAAATAAAATTCAAATATTTCAAGTTCTATCCATCCTATGAATTATTCTATATATGACATAATTTGCTTTGCCACTTGACATTTAACTACGATTATAATCACAAACATATTTTTAATCGCACTTCATATTATTATTATTATTTAACGCATTCACACTTATGATTTAATTCCCTCACCGGATATAACTTCTTAAAAAGAACCATATATATACGATTGTACAGCTTGATGATAAATTCGTTGAGAAGAATTTCTTCGCTGAATCACTTGAATCACTTCAACATTACATTTAAATTTGAAATTAATTAACAGGATATTTTCGGTGGTAACCTGAACCTGTTCTTTGGTGTCAGGTTCTTGTCTATGAATCTGGATGGTAAACCGTCTTCCACTTAAAATTCTTTGGACATTTTGTAGCTCATTTGTCAACAAATTCCTCGGTGCATATTTTCCGAATCTCTGATGAAAGTGAATAGATGAGATCTGTCTTTCTGCTTACAGACAGAACTTTAGAGATTAACAAATTTTCTGTTACATGGAGGCGAGTTATCACCATTTCTCTGCATTTGAACAATGAAGAAATGGAACATCAAGTTACAATCAACTTTTAGACTGAAATCGGTGTTTAAGTGAGCACTACCAAAGATTTGGAGCAGGTTTTCGAGATCTAAGTTCTCTTCACAAGTAATGAAAGTGTCATCTGTGTATCTCTTGCTGAAATGAAGCTCACTGATAAGTGATCATAAAAATCTAGTGATTCATTGACATTTCACTGTAGATTTCATCACCAACTAACATCAGTTAAAGAATCTCTGAAAAATACTCAGCAGTACTGGAGAGGTTTTTTATTTCGTGAGCATTAATAACACAACACTCGGGCACCTACATTTTACCAGCCAATTGAAGATTAAAGAAACCTATCAGAATCTGAAAGCAGATAAGAAATGGATATACTTGCTGGAATCAACGTAAATGATACTTCGAACTGTGTCACAAGTAGCCTCAAGCCACTGATTCTTGACATTCAGACGATATCAGTCAGGCAACCATACTCTTTTCTGTATTCGGTCGGTCGGTCGGTTTTCGACATAGAACTTTGCACATATGTGCGGCAGTTAAAGTCGCCACACTCCACAAAGCAAGAGAAGAAAGTAGAAGAAATGCAAAACAGAGACAGTAAACAGAGGTGTGAGACAAAGGAATAATAATGACGAAGAACAAAACACTTTCATTGGAAATCACAAGGAGTGGATGCATCTGCGCCAGCCACTGAGAACGATTTCGAGCCATGTCACCAATTGTTTCCAACCATTGGATTTTACCGTCCCGAGGACCCCAACCAGGAAGTCTACACCTTCCTACGTGGCTTAGACTAACTGTTGTGGATTTCATTGACTGGTGCCATCTTTTCGTTTGACCGCCGCTAGCTCTTTTCCGGCCTGACCCTACATCAGCTAACATTGCCCATCGAGGAAGGCGATGATTAGGCATACGTAGCATATGTCCTAACCATCTCAGCCGATGTAATTTCACAGTCTCGTCGACTGATTTCCCCGCCTTACCTAGCACTCGGAGCCTAACCTCAATGTTGCTCACCTTATCATACCACTTCACGCGGGAGATAGAGCACAGGCACCTATGATCGAAGACAGCTAATCTTTTCATATCTTCTGCTCTCAATGGCCAGGTCTCACAGTGGTTAGGACTCTCGCCGACCATGCACATGGTCCGGGGTTCGATCCCCTGCCGGCGCACACCCGATATCTATGGTAGGCCTGAATTTGGGCTAACCGATATCCATGCTGAAAATTCCATACTTGTACTGAAAATACGGTGTGGAATCAAGCTGTAAATAAAAAAAAAAAATAAAAAAAATAAAAAATATTACCATTCTTTTCGCCTCATATATCTGTTTACTGTCTCTATTTTGCATTTCTTTTTACTCTTATCTCTTGCTTTCTGTTCTACATGGAGCGAGAGTGGCAACTCGAACTGCTGCACATCTGTGCAAAGTTCTATGTTGAAACCAGTCAGTCATTCATCAGATTTCCTGACAACCCTACGAAATTTGTGTTTAACTTCTCTTTGGTAACTTTATCTAACCTGCAACTAGAAGCCTTGTTTTCGAGCCCGAAATTCTGCTATGTTATTTTCAATGTCGACAAACTCCATACTCATGTATAGTTTGAAAATTTAATTAGCTAAACGAATGATCTGGTTCCAATATCTATTGATGAGTTACAACGATTCAAATCAACAATCATCGATTGTTACCACAATTACCTCAGTACAAAAGCAAGAATCCGTAATCACTTAGCAAAGCAGCACTAAGAAGAATTAAAACAGTTGAAAGACAACAAAGAACTGCTGACAACCCGTCCTGACAAAAGGTGCTGGTGTAGTTCTTTTGGACCGAAAAGATTGTATGGACAGAATTAAGAAAATACTCTCCAACGATAGTAAATTTTCTTAACCCCCCCCCCAATGAAAGACACAAAACTGAACTAATTGAGAAACAACTTACAGATGCCTTGAAAAGGATGAAAACTGATTGGTTAATTAGCTGTGGTCTCCATGATCGAATTCGACCGATAGGCTGACGAATGCCAAGGTTTTATGATTTACCAAAGATACACAGAGTTGGTCATCTACTCCATCCATTTCTAGATATGTCAAGTTCCCTTTGTAATTCTGTTTCAAAATGGCTGTCTGATATTCTGGAACTTGTAAAGAAACATCTATACATATACCCGCTTCGTTTTTTTATTCCTTTAAGTTCCCAGTGAAACATAGGGCTTGAAGTTTCGATAGCAATGGTGTTTATGTTTACGGGATGAGGTTGCTAGCCCCATGACCGACCTTCTCTCTTTACCAGTCTTATTACTGGCATAGCGAAGGAGAGGAATGCGCCGGTCAAGGATCGAACCCCGGACCACATGTATGGTCAGTGAGCATTCTACCGCTGTGCCACCGACGCATACTCGCTTCGTGATACCTTCCAATTCGTTGACTACATACAAGATATGAATGCTATTAACAAAAGTATGCCATCTTTAGAGAGTAAATCACTGTTCACCAATGTCCCACTTACAGAAACTGTCTGTTTTATATGTAAATACATAGATGAAAACCAATTCAACCTTGGAATTCCAACAATACGTCTGAAAGAACTGCTACTGAGGTGTACTCTCAATATACAATTTACTTTCAATGACACCATTTACATACAAGAGCACGGTATTGCAACGGGATCTCTTTTGAGTTCATAACTAACAGACCACTTCATGGCTAGCCTTGAGAACGGAACATTCAAGTCGTCTACTGACAACTCGCAACTGTATAAAAGATACGTAGATGACATTTTCGTCGTTTACGACTACAGTTACAACCGAAGTTATTTGCTACAAATATTCAACAACTGTCATGCAAAAATAAAATTCACTCTCGAAATGGAATGCGAATCCGAAATTCCCTTTCTTGACATGTGACTAACAAGATGGCCTGGCGGAACCTTAAGAAGCTCAGTCCATAGAAAATCCACTTGTAACTGTCAACTAACAAGTTTCTACAGTTGGGTACCTGCCGAGCGAAAACGAAATCTGATTAAACCCCTTTACACTCGGATCCAACGCAACTGCAGTCCTGAAGCCCTGGAAGCAGGACTGGATCTTCTGAAAGGAACCTTCATTGACAAGAATATCAAACTAAAGGTGCAGAGAAATGAAACATCAATTGTTTCAAAAAATATACTTTACATGAATCTGGATTTCAAGGGAGACTTAGCTTGTGACATCCTCAAGAGAAGAATTTCAGCATCGTTGAAGGGAACATTCTTCTCATCAGTAGTCCATTGGTCTATAGAAGTCTTAAGGACAAGATCTTGCATCTGGCCACTCCTGTGTGCATATATCAGTTCACCTGTTGCTGTGGAGCCAGATGGGTACATTGGTCGTTCGACGTGTATCCTGTCCAAAAGGGTTCAAGAACACTTTCCCGCATGGCTGCAAATAAGGTAATAGTGGCTGTATAAGGAGTGCGATAATCGAAGACCTTGCCGACACTGGTCATTCCATCTCAACAAATGCCTCCTTCAAAATGATCTACGGAGTCAAGAATAACCTACCAAAAACAATGCGCTTTCATCTTCTCTGTATTATTGAAGCACGAGGCCATTAATTTTCAAAAAGCCAGAGTTATGCACGCAAAAGAAAATCATCCGACCACTTCTACTATCATAGTAACGACCGCGTTGACTTCTACTGACTTGATGTTTGTGTGCTTGATATGTTTTTTCCTAACTCCTTACATAATTCCATATTTTCCCTTATTTTTATGTGCGTCCTACCTAATCACAAGTCACTCATTAAACTACTCATCTTATTACGTAACTATGTTACGCTTATTAAACTTCTTTTATGTTGTAATAAATGTATTTTTGGACAACACATCACCACTACCCTCCTACCAATCTTCACAAACCCCCAGTTACAATTTGATTACTCCTCACAATTTTGAAGTGTCTTGACAGCTAAAACCCTAACTAATTTTTATTCTTATCGAACAAACCTAATGTACACACACATATATACAAAAATAAGTATATATACATTTAATTGCGATTGTACAGTTAAGTGAATGAATTCGCCATCGAAAAGAGACTCTTTGTTGAACACTACGTGTCTTGTTTTTCATTAATTTCTGAATGGGGATTATTCATGCATTTTTCATTTCACAGAATTTCCTCCTTTGTCACTAACAGCTTAAAAACCACGCAGATTGCATACTACTGATGTGTAGTTGGTTTACAATCACATTAACTAATAGTGACGCTTGCTGTCCAGTCATATCGAATGTATCTAAACAATGAACGACCGGTCCGCTCGTTTGGGATCAGGTTCATCAGTGGTGTACTCGGTTTGACTCTCTCTCTCTCAACTCATCCATATGCATCCATGACTCTAGCAGGGATACAGCTTAGGGCCTGCAATTAATAGTGTTCTCTGAGCTGGTTGGTTTAGTTGCGAAGCTTTCGTCGTCCTTCTGGACAACATCTTCAGCGCAATATTTAGCATAAAGTGAAATGATTTAAATTTCTTCATAAGTGTGATATAATTGCGTTTCCCAGTAACCATCTTTACATATGTATTGACCATTTTCTATTGACTTGGATTTGAAACTTTCTGGTCACCTGATTTACTTTTTATTAGTTGGTATATTTCGTCTATATTAACGTGCTTGTAAATTGCATATTCGTTTGAGTACCAGGCTTATGGGAATTCTCTGACTGTACTTTTGGTGTTTCCTCTGTCTAAGATCTCGACATTATCCCAATCAAACTGATGTCCAGAATTATCTACATGCATTGATACTAAAGAATACATATCGTGTCCTTTCACGGCTGATTTGTGTTCCTGGATTCTGATTCGAAGGAGACGCCCACTTTGCCCGATGTAATGTCTGTTACAGTTCATACAGGCAATTTATTTTGTAAATGGTATTAATTTTATCCCCTTTTTCTCTTGGATCTTTCGGTTTGCATAATATCGAATTAAGCGATTTTACTGGCTTGTGTGCAATATCTATATCAAACGGTTTCAGTATTCTATCTGTTATTTCAGAGATATTTTTCATGTATGGTAGGATGAATTTTCGTATGGTCTTTGATGATGGTTCTTTGTTGGTGTTTTGATTCGACTTTAAACACTTTTTGATGGAATTTTGTGGGGGATATCCATTCTTATTGAAGACCGTTTGTAGGTACTTTTCTTCCATTCTTTTCAACTCTGGAGTGTTACAGTGTGTGTTTGAATTCTTTTAAACAAGGTCTGCACACAGTTTCTTTTTTTGTGGGTAATTGGGTTATGGCTAGTATAGTTGAGTATTTGATTTCTGTGCGTGCGTTGATTTTCTATATACACTTGTGTTTCTAAATCTCCTATGTTGGTTTTCCTGATTAAGATTTATAAAAACGGGATTTTGTTATCTAATTCTTCTTCTCTTGTGAATTTGATTTCTTCAAATATGTTGTTTATTAATTTATGGGTATATTCTAAGTCATTTCTCTTAATTATTACAAATGTATCATCAACGTAACGTATCCAGGTTTCCGGTTTAATTATAGGTAGAGCTATTAATTCTAATCTTTGCATAACAGCTTCAGCTATTAATCCTGATATGGGCGATCCCATTGGTGTTCCTTTTATTTGTTCATATATTCGAGTATTGAACTGGAAGTATGTTGTAAGGCATAATTTATGAGTTCTAAGTTGATAGTGGCGTTTTTATGTTTTCATCACTATAGAGTAATTGTTGCATAGTTTCTGTTGCTAGTTTTGGACTAATTGAAGTATATAATGCTGTGACATCAAAGGACACCATTATTTCATTGTCTAATGATTGAATGTTTTTGATTTTCTCTGAAAATTGGATTGGCGAATTGATAGAATGGTCGCATGATTCTGTTAGGTAATTTAATTTCCTGGAAAGTTCTTTAGATAGATTATATGTTGGGGTTCATGGAAGCGAAACGAATGGTCGTAAGGGAATGTTTGGTTTGTGCAGTTTTGGTCTACCATAGAATCGAGATAAAATAGGTCTGTTAGATTTCATTCGCCATTGATCTTGTTCTGTAATTTGTCCTGATTTCGTTAGTTTATTTAACGTTGTTCTGATTTTGTTATCTAATGTTTGTATAGGGTTTTTTATCAACTGTTGATATACATTATTATCTTTGAGTAAATCCTCTGCTTTCTTTATGTAGTCTTCTGTGTCCAGGATTACTGTTGTTCTTCATTTATCAGCCGGTAGAATAACTATATCTTTTCTATTCTTCAGTTTCTTCAATGCATTTTTCTCTTCAGTGCTAAGTTGGGAATTATGTCTTTTCTGTTTGAGTATAGGTATGATACATTGACGTACTTCTTGTTGTAGTTCCTCATTTAATTTTGATAATTTGAGTGATGATTCTAAGGAAGCACAGAAATCTGTTACTGAAGTGTCACTAGTATTGTAGTTGAGTCCTTTCTGAAGAAGTTGTTCTGCTTTTGATAATCGTTGTTTTGATAGATTTACTACACAATCAATTGCAAATCATCCACCTGAGCTACAAATCTTCTCAATTATTCCAACAACTTAGGACCTTGAAGTTACTAGGCTAGCTTTTTGACCATTCTGTCACTAAGATGAAATTCAATCGTTCATTTTTATTTCCTTTCTTATTCTATTGCTTTTCAAGCCATCAGTTTGTCATGAATCTATCGAATCAAAATCTGATTTAACTCGCCATGGCAGTGAAGAATCAGTTTTAGACGCTGTCAATAAAACTGTCCAGTCCAGTTGGAGTTTAATATCTCCAGTGAATGTTGTCGATGCTATCCATCAATTTACTGAAGATATGCGTCGTCGAGAACTTCAAGGCGGTGCACGATATACTGGTACACGTATACGTCCAGAGTATACAGCTGGTTGTGATCCTATCACAGTGAAAGGCAAGTTATCCTCAAGTATCAATGATATCAAGAAAGAGTCGAGTCATTTCAATGAAATTGATTATGAACAACGCAATGATAAATATGATACAGAATATTGGAAAAAATATGAGTAAGTAGTTCGCCCATTTTTTTTCCAGTATGAATTTGTGTACTACTTTTAGTTTGTATAAGTAGTTAATGTAACACTTTTTGAACTCAAGAGGAATTATTGATTTTAAAGTGTTAGTTTGCTGGGATTTCATTGGTTTCAAGTTTGTTCATGGATTGATATTGGTTATAGAACCACTGAAAATCAACAGAGTACTGGACAGCTGTTTCACCCCCTAGTTTAGGACTCTTCGGCAGTAGACATCCATGACCCCATCACCAGGGATTGAAGCCAGAAGGTTTAGGTTATGTGACGAGTTAGCTGACCATTCTGCCACTGAAACGAAGTCCAATTAAAGATATATGGTGCAACCGTCAGCCAGTGGCGTCCGCAGTTGAATCATGGACACGTACTACAAAACGGTTGTGGATTAGGATGAAACAGCTATCCACCAGTAATCCATGATGGCTTTCAATGGTTCTGAAACTAATGTATCAGGTCGTGATCAAACTTTCGGTCGGTCGGTCGGTTTTCGACATAGAACTTTGCACATATGTGCGGCAGTTCAAGTCGCCACACTCCATGTAGCACACAGAGCAAGAGAAGAAAGTAGAAGAAATGCATAATATAGACAGTAAACAGAGGTGTGAGACAAAGGTATAGTAATAACGAAGAACAAAACAGTTTAATTGAAAATCATAAGTCACAAGGGGTGGATGCATCTGCGCTAGCCATTGAGAACGATTTTGAGCCATGTCACCAATTGTTTCCAACCATTGGTTTTTAACGTCCCGAGGACCCCAAACAGCAAGTCTACATCTTCCTACGTGGCTTAGACTGACTGTTGTGGATTTCATTGACTGGTGAAGCCATGTTTTGGTTTGACCGCCGTTAGCCCTTTTCCAGCCTGGCCCTGTATCAGCTAACATTGCCCATTGTCGAGGAATGCGATGACTAGGCATGCATACGTAGCACATGTCCTAACCACCTCAGTCGGTGTAATTTCACAGTCTCGTCTATTGATTTCCCCGCCTTACCTAGCACTCGACGCCTAACCTCAATATTGCTTACCTTATTATACCACTTCATACGGGAGATAGAACGCAGACACCTATGATCAAACACAGCTAATCTTTTCATGTCTTCCACTCTCAACGGCCAAGTCTCACAGCCATAAAGGAGGACGGAGCGGACTCTTGAGCAGTAAACACGCCCTTTGGTCGATAGTCGGATATCGTGTCTACGCCAGAGGCGGCGTAAACTGGCCATCTGTATTCGTGCTGAGATTTCGTCGGAGATCAACCCGTTGGGGCTGATGGTACTTCCCAAGTAAGTGAAGCGGTCAACATGCTCTACCACTTCACTTCCTATTTCTAATCTAGGGGTCGGTGAAGTCCAATCCTGCAACATCATCTTACATTTTACAGCGGCGAATCGCATGCCAAACATACGAAGATTGTTGCTCAATGTGTTCAGTAGACTGTGCATTTTGTCAGCGTCTTCGCCTAGAAGGACTATATCGTCTGCATATTCTAAGTCAACGAGACTATTATTCCCTGGTAGCAAGTGAATCCCTGAGTCGCTGAAGTGTGTTAGGATTGAGTTCATTAGTACGTCTATGATGAAGTTGAATAGGAATGGGGATAATGGACATTCTTGACGGACGCCACTAGTCGTCACCACTTCGTATGACAACTCGCCATAAGCCCTCACCTGGCTGCGTGAGTACGAGTAGAGTGCCTTGATCAGTACAATGTATTTTCTCGGCACTCCCTTTACAGCCAAGCATCGCCGGAGAACCTCTCGGTCGACAGAGTTGAATGCCGCCTTTAGGTCAAGAAATATAATGGTTGTCGGACGCCGGTAGGTATGCCTATGTTCTAGAATCTGTCGAAGGGTGAAGATACGATCAATACACCCTCTTCCTGGCCTAAAACCTGCCTGGAATTGAACCCAGAAGGTTTAGGCTACGCGACGAGTTAACTGACCACTCTGCGACTGAAACGAAGTCCAATTTAAGACATATGGTGCAACCGTCAGCCAATGGCGTCCGCAGTTGAGTCATGGGCGCGTACTACAAAACGGTCGTGGATTAGGATGAAACAGCTATCCACCAGTAATCCCTGATGGTTTTCAATGGTTCTGCAACTAATGTATCAGGTCGTGATCAAACTTTGAATGATTATAATTTTCATTTGATCATACCTGGCTTGCTTGAAACAGAGTTTTTGCAGTTGTCCCTAGATGACAAGACTTGACCATCGACTGCGTATCACCACAGTTTAAGTCGGAATATACAAGTTTAGGAGTCGATTTTTCCGAGTCCCTTGTCCCTGGAGCAGAAGGATTGCATAATTGGCTTGCTGGTTGTCGAAGGAATATTTTTTACTCTTGTAACACACGCTTGTTCGTCAGCAGTATATCTTCGCCATCCAAATCCCCAAACATAGTATCGACAGTTTAAACTATAATGGCAACTACTTTTAGTCTGACCAGTATCTAAACACCCTTTCTGGCGTGGTAGAACCTACAGCCACGGAAATGTCCTAAAGTATGAGACAATATTCTACAAATATATGCAAAACAAATAGTAGGAAAAGGACTTTGTATAGCAATACATAATTTGAGTTTATCACATTTTTTAATGATGAGGAACGAAGCAACGAAAGGACGAGAGGAAAGAAGAGAGGAGGGTATGGGGGAAAGGAAGGGGCAGTTAAGAGACAAAGGAAGGAATCTAGTGAAGTAGGAAGGTGGAAGGTAAACGAAGGAATAAAGAATGAACTCATGTTGTAGTTAACAGCAAACTGACCAGTTAAATAATGATAAGTGGTAATAAAAGTATTAATTCTTAATATCTTTCCATCCTTTTGATGTTAACATTCAGAGTTAAGGATGGTGAATCGTCTAGCTTGTGAGATATAGCTCACTACATACCAATATGGACTAGATACATGACACATTGGTTACTTCTTAGTGACCAATCAATATGTCTATGACAAACCTCAGGAAAGCCAGTGATACTCCCACTGGCTCAGTGGTAATGTCTCTCTCTCCATCTCTGCAAAAGACTCAACAATGAAAGAAGTTAAAACGAACATCATCTACAAAATAAATTGTAACAACTGCGAAAAACACTACATTGGCCAAAGTGGACGTCCCATTCGTCTTCGTATTCACGAAGATGTGACATCCACTCCCTCATATCACTCGCTGCATACAGACAACCACGGACATCAATTCGACTGGGACAACCAGCGTTCAAATATTAGACAGAGGAAACACCAAGAATGCTAGCCAGAGAATTTTTAGAAGCCCATCTGGTATTCCAGTGAATCATCAATCAATAGACACATCGAGATAGACAAAATTTATCAACCGATAAGAAGGAAACCTCACACACACACAAAGGGTTAAAGTTCAAGTCAAAGAAACAATCAGTTACATCACAAGTAGCCTAGAGGGTGTGAAAACACACGAAAACAACCAATCACGTTCAAAGTCACCCACCAGAAGAGATGACTAATAAACTCTTGGAGAAATCTAAACGCTCACTTCATCGAAATGAAGTATGAGCTGAAGATGTTGCCTAGTGGTGGGGCGATGAAAGCTTCGCAAATTAACTATCCAGACTCAGAGAACACAATCACATCAAATCATCCACCTGAGCTACAAATCTTCTCCATCATATCTAATTAATGTCTCTGCCTGCAGCGCTAGGTGAAACAGATTTGAACACCCGAGGGATAATTGATTTCTTTCGTGGTTGCAGATACACCTCATTAATAAGTGTTGATAAGCATGAAATCTAGGTCAAAGACTTATTGTCGACTGCCTTCAACTGATCGACATGAATGAGTCAAAGATTTCATTGTTTTTATTTTTATGTTTAACCACCCATAATCAATTTAAACTGTCTGCCAGACTTAATTTCACCAGCAGAGTGAAAAATGGCTCTCTAGTGTTTTTAAATCGTCTTGATTTGACTGGTAATCATTACTGATTGGTATGAATGGGTTTTCAACTACTAGAAGATCAGTAATACATGCCATTCTTCACTGTTTTCTCAAGATTGTCTGAAAAACTAATTTCTTCAGTATCACGTTATCTAAATTTTGTTACGAAGTTCAACAATAGCGTCCCAGAAGTGCAAACGCTCCAATGACCTTGAACGCGTTCTAGTCATTGCTTAACGGCACCTGTCATTATCATAGCTGAAATATCAACGCTATTCACCAACTCAGCAGCAAATTTCACTCAGATCATGTTTTTAAGTACTGTTTAGACAGTGAGTTAATAGCTCGTTAGGGTTAGGATTAAGATTAAGGTAAGTATTGGGGTTAGGGTTAGAATTACGGTCTGGATAAGGGTTATGATTAGGGTCAGGATTCAGGTTAGGGTTACGATTAGGGATAGATTTATAGTTGATGTCATTTATTTTAATTTGTTTTATTATCTACATTCTCCTGGTAAGTAGTTGTCGATCCTCTTACTGGAAACCATAGTAATTCAACCGAGGGTTTTGGGGAGGACTTCACAACAGGATTAGAGAGATGAACCATTCACAAAAACAGCTCATCTTCATTCATCTCGGTGAACACATGTACAGAAACTAGTCTAACTTGGCAACTGATACTTTTCATTATAGCTGGGACGTATTTTTAAGTCACGTCAGAGAAAGATGCCCTGGTCAGTGTGTTTACCTACATTTTCATTTAAATATACGTCATTTTTCATGTAAAGTTTCCTCATTTTTATGATTGGTCAGCCCAAGGACACACATGCGTTCGCATCCCTTGGGATGCTACTGTTGAACTTTGCCAGTTTTGTTGCCTACTCTGAAGTTTCTGTAGAGATTGAGTGGCAATTTTTAACGGAGTAAGACTGTTAACATCATCTCAACCTCTCCTGTCTTCTGGGCTTATGAATGAATAGGCGAGATTTAAGTAGACGGAAGCTTAAAATGATCAGAGAAAGTATGCTAGGTGTTCATTACTCATAAATCGGCCTAGAGATATACATCCTTCAGGCTAAGGAACGAGATTTGAATTTATAACACAAATATCAATTAGGTTAGTGGTTCTATGAGAAATAGAGACTTAGTGTACGCCACACCGATAGCATTCCCGCAGAAATACTGTAGAATTCCATCAACATCTGCATTATCGGCCATCTGGAGAGAGCTTCGGTAAAAAAGTAGCGTTTTACCCAACAAATATATACAGAAAGAAAAGCAGATGGACTGAGTATACACTAAGGGCCCATTCAAGAGACATCACACGCCACACCCTCGACAAGGAACCCAAATGAATGGAATAAGTAGACAAGTTGGGTATAGGTCTGAAGGTGATATGGATAAGATCATGTCAGCAGGTGGAAATGAAATCTTTCTTGGGGTGATGGAGGAGGAGAGGTCAGGAGAGTGAGTGAAAGAACCAGTTGAAAGGCATGTCAGAGAACCGACTGAGTTCAATGAAGATATCCTGCTGTGACCCTATGCTTACATCTTTCTTCAGTGGTGGTACTCTTGCTTTATTGACTTAATTATGTCTACCTTTAATTTTTCCCCCTATCTATTTGTCTAGGGAGAATATTGTCGACAAAGAAACTGAAGGTATATGGGATAATTTATATGCGGCTATGGAAAGATATTATACAATATTAAAAAACAGAGCTAAGTTAATACGTGATACAGAAAGTTTAAGAAGACAAAATGTTGAATTACGTCATCTTTTGCAACAGTATATGAGTTCAAAGGTAAGTAAAGAATAATTATCTTATATATATATATATATATATAAACTTCTATTGGATACTAGTTAGTAACTAGTGTATTATGTGTCTATTCTTTTGTTTAATGCAGACTGAATTCTATCACAGTCAAGTTTCCAATGTAGCCATCATGCTACATAGCTCGCCATCACAGTGCACTCGAAATTCCATTATGGGTAAAACTTTTGTTATGATAAAGTCTCACAGTGTTATACAGTAATGTTTACTGATGACCACGTTTCGAGCACAATTCATTGCCGCTCATAATCATATCAAGGCAGTACTCACACAACTTTCGAACTTCGTTTATGTAATTCTATTATTTTTCATCGGTAGACCTGATTGGTAGTAGTATTTTCCATATTCCCGGTATGAGTGATGAGTCATTCCTATTGCATGTGTTGGGTGTAGACTCGATGAACAAAGATTCAGTAATTAACCTCTCTGTATCTGCACCCACCTAGATTCCTTTTTAGAATTTTAACCCTCGTGTGTTAATGCATGCAGTGCAGGGCAGTGCTGAGCTTTTTTCTAAATTACTTATATTCTTGGGGTCAACCATTCTTGCCTTAGCTAAATTCTTATGTTCCGACAATCTGATTACCCCTGAAATTAAAAATAATTAAAAATAAAAATAATTGTGAAACTAGTAATGATAACATAAATAAGAGAGAATATAAATCATCCACTGTTATACCATATAAGGAGGGGATATCTGAGACCTTACGTAGGATTCTCAATGAAGCAAGAATTAGAGTGACATTTAAACCTACAAACTCACTCAGGCAGGACAAGCTCTGTAGGTTTAAGGACCCTGTGTGTTGACCCAATCAGACAAAATAATATAATTTACAAAATACCCTGCATTGACTGTGAGTGACGTCAACTACATAGGTCAAACTAGTAGGTCAGGGGTAGTCAGATTGTCTGTCAGAACATAAGAATTTAGCTAAGGTAAGAATGGTTGACCACGAGAAGACAAGTAATTTAGAAAAAAGCTCAGCAATTGCACTACATGCACGACTACACATGACTACACAACACGGTTGGAGAGGGTTTAAATTCTAAGATGTAATCTAGGTGGATGGAGAGACAGAGGTTGATTAATGAATCCTTGTTCATCGAATCTACACCCTCTAGTTAAGTGAATGAAGTGAACGCTCTCAAGTTTCTTTCATTCATAGTGGTTGGTGCTGGTTGTTGTTGTCATTCTTGGTAAGTTGATTTGTTGGCTGGTCTTCTTCATCACCTCCGTCTTCTCCATGTTCACTTAAAATCCTGTCTTCACCGACTGCTTCTTCTGTCAGTTTGTTGGTTTCTATCTGCAAGTCTTTGAGTTTGTGTGACACTAAACATAAATCATCGACGCATGAAATCCAGATCTTATGCAGTTTTCTCGTCGTTCCACAGTGGCTTTTCTTTTCGTTCTTCACAATGTGATGCATATTACAGTTCACCACATTTGAGAATATCAGTAGTGGTAGTAGGCAACCTTGTATTACTCATGTGTTCGCTACCTGAGTCAGGCTGTTGTTTCCGTTTCGTATCACCTGACACGTGACATTGTAGTGTGGTTGTTGAATGAGGTTGAGGAGGATTTGGTCAATGCACACAATTGTTTTGCATTAGTTATTTGCAGATTGTTTCTCGATCAACGCTGTCTGTTGAAGACCTTTTCGAAGTGAATGAAGTTGAGGTCGAGTGAGGTTTGACTGTCATTCTATGCTTTGTTCTGTAAATATGATTATGTGTAGAGTTGCAATTTGATCATCACATGGTTTTCCATTCCTGTTACCAGCTTGGCTAACGGATATGTGTATCCAGTGCCTCTTTTATTCTCTCCATTATGACACGATCAGTTATTCTAGTTGGTAGGCGTTGACAAGTGCATGATTTTGTGCCAGTTCTTGCAAAGCGACGCCTAATTCATCCTTCTTTGGTAGCTTGTCAAGACTGACTTCCTTATAATCGGTTGACACCTTTTCAGACCACACAATCATCACGGAAACTGTCGATAATCAAGGTTTTGCATACGAGGGATGTGTGACTATTCATCGTAATGACTATATTTCAGGGTATGAAAATAGTTTTAGAGACGGGAATTATTCGTTAGGGTTCAGGTTAAATGCAGCTATTCAAATAATATCTCTTCTCTGTAGTCCGTGAACAGTGTTCACATATCAGGAGTAGTAATAATAATCACGCTTAATTTACCTCTTATGTGTAACTTCATTATTGCCTTCGCAAATACTGACTGACTGTGTCAAAGTCGCTGTGATGAATGTTCGATTTCTGCCGCCTCTATTTCCCTAACTTTCTTTATCTTAAGTAGTATGGTGTGTGCATTTCAAAATATTTTATTTTTCATTCTGTCAACTTTCCTCTTTCTTTTTTCATCTATTTATTTACTTATTAAACAGGTGAATTATGAATTACAAATCCCGCCATCGAAAACCATGGAGATTGTTTAAATGAAGTAAACTGAAGTGATTGTCTCTCCATCAATGCGAACAGACAGTGACACTGTTATTTATCTTCCTGATTTTTTTCTGTTCTGACAAGAAGGAACTACTTGTTTATTTTAATTTTTAACGATAAAACAATTATTTACCGATTTTTCAAATGAATCTAGGAATCTATAAAACAATTCTGGTCTTTGTTTCGTTATTATTACCATTAAGATTATTTATTGTTGAACGCTTATTTAAATGAGTATTTTTGCGTTCGCGCGCGCGCCCACGCCAGTGTTCAATATGTCAATGATACAGTAAAACAAACTGAAGTGACGAATAATGAGGATTATTTGTTGAAGGTAATAATAATAATAATAGTAAACATTCAGAAATTGTATATGTACAATGTAAAATGTATCACCACTAGCGCCTGTTCTACCATACAGATATAAATAAATTATAATGCCTAAGACTTCTGTTGATGCTAACCAATATAATCAATAAAATGTATTGATCATATGCATTCCAGTGATTTTATTAATTGATTTGTTCATCTGCCTCTCTCATGACTAAGTAGTTGTAGGAGGAGGAGGAGAGGAAGAAGGAGAAGAACTGATGAAAAGTTTCAGACTTTCCAATCCACGATGCCTGAGTTTGTTAAATTTGTGACAATGACTTCAATGTAGTTTTGCAATCTTTACCTGCGGGCACTGAGTACACAAAATATTGGTAAGAAAGACTTATGGTCGGTAGATCGTGGTATCAGATAATCCAGTGGGGACACGAATTTGATCGATTCATACCCGAGTTCAGAAATCTGAGAATATAAATTCTGTAGAGTGGGATAAATTATCGGATACAAGGCCATCGGAGATATCTCAGTGACGAAATGACTGTCATAGATGGGCCACAGTAGCATGCAATGTTATAGGAGGCTTAAGAAATAACCCTGGCCATTTAGACATAATCATCAATATTCGGCTAGTGCACATGAAATCAACCTCGCCTAGTCTACTGGCTCGCTAGTTTTCTAGCCGGTCCCAAGCCCAGATAAAGAGGGAAGGTTGGGCGTGCGACTAGCGACCCTATACCACAAAAGGTATCAAACTGCTTCAGAAACTTCAACGTACAAGAAATATATTAAAAAATACAAAAAAATGTATTCGTCCCTGGAATCGGGGAGGCGAAATGACACAGCGTGCTGGTGAAACCCCGCCTTCGGGAAGGCGATCAGCCAGCCTATGTGTCTTCTCTAGACGGGAACAAGAATAAGAATGGGAACGTGGAATGTTCGTGCAATGTACGAGAGTGGGAAGACTGCTCAGGTAGCCAAATAAATGAGGAGAAATTGGCATATAAGTGCTAGGAATCTGCGATAGCAGATGGAACGGATGTGGACTGTCAAAATTGTCAACTGTAGAGTCAGTAATCTATTCCGGTCTGGTCACCCAGACGACAACCACGAGCACACTGAGGCAGTGAGTGGCTATCATAATGTCACCAGTGGCAGCTAAAGCCCTAATACAGTGGGAACCAATTTCAACCTGTAGGATCACGACAGCAAGATTCAACTCAAAAGGAAGAAAGGCAGGTCACAATTATTGAATGCTACGCTCAATGCTACAAACAACGAGGAAAAAGAGAAGAAGGAAGATTTCTACAGACAGCTGAAAACATCTCAAATGGAGGCGTCGAAATCCTCATGAGCGATATGAATGCAAACCAAACTGGGAGCAGACAATATGGGAAGAGAACTCATCATGGGTCGAGAGGCTGTCGTTCGGCAAAATGAATGAGAACGGAGAATTATTCGCAGACTTCTGCGCTTTCATTGATTTGGTGATAGGAGGGAGCGTGTACAAGCAAAAAGATATACTCAAAGCAACATGGATTTCACCTGACGGACACACTGCAAACCAGACAGGTTGCATCTCAGTGCTGCTCAAAGAAGTGGAGATGCAGCTGGCCTGCTGGACACAAAGTTGAGAAGGGGAGCAGATGTGGGCTCGGACCATCATCTAGCTAGTTGAAGGAGGCATCAAGGTGAAGCTGAAATCCTTCAGATCAACTGTAGACAGACCACTGTAATTCACGTTTGACAAAAAGAGACTGAAGGACAAAAGTACAAGGGATGCCTTCACCATAGATCAGACACTACGTAGCGTCACTGAGGAAACTTGTGTGTGTGGAAGAACATTGGAACTAATTATCTGAAGGCGATGTTAAACGAAACTCATACAGCTGTTCTAGAAAGAAGGAAGAGACAGGACAAGGAGTGGCTCTCAGTGGACACCTACCTGGAAGCTAATAGAAGCGAGGAGAAGAGGATAGTGAAGAGATGATTCAGTGCAAAGATGGACAAGAGAAGGAGAAGCTGAGTTCAGTGGACACGGAACTCAATAAAGAAGTAAAGAAGAGTGCCAGAAGAGAGAAGAGGCAGTTCTTCGACACACTGGTTGGCAGCTGAAGCAGGACCGGCAGTGGGTAAAAGAGACCTGAGAACTTTAAATCAGATAGGCACCAGATCTCTATACGGGAAGCGATCAACCCAGATGATACCACCACTGACACCACTCACACAACTGCCTGTCAGTAGACATCAGTCCTTCAACGAAAGGAGAAATCCTGAATGCGATCAAGCTACTGAAGTCCAGCCGGGAAGACAGCAGCACCAGGTGGAAGCACTGAAAATGGACTCAGAGACTGCAGGGGATTTGCTGATGCCTTTATTGAAAAGAATTTAGAAGGACGGAAAGGTACCCACTGATTGCAAGAACGGTCACCTTGTCAAGCTACCAAAGAAGGATGAATTACGCCTCACTTTGCAAGAACTGGCACAAAATCATGCACTTGTCAACGCCTGCCAACTAGAATAACTGGTAGCGTCATCCTCGAGAAAATAAAAGATGCACTAGATACACAACTCCGTCAGCCATACCGGAACAAGCTGGATTCAGGAATGACAAATCATGTGATGATCAAATCGCTACTCTACACATCATCACCATCACAGAACAAAGCATAGAATGGCAGTCAAACCTCACTCCACCTCAACTTCATCCACTTCGAAAAGGCCCTCAACAGACACCGTTGACCGAGAAGTAATCTGCAAACTACTACTGCAAAACAATGGTGTGCAGTGTCCAAATCCTCCTCAACCCTGATTCAACAACCACATAGCAATGCCACGTGTCAGGTGATGCAAAACGGAAACAACAGTCGAGCCCATGTAGCGAACACATGAGTAATACAAGGTTGCCTATTACCACCGCTGATATTCTCAAATGTGGTGGACTGGAATATGCCTCAGACTGTGAAAAGAGAAAAATACTCTGGATCGATAAGGAGACTCTAGAAGTATGTTTAGTGTCACACAAACTGGAAGACTTGCAGACTGAAACCAACAAACTGACAGAAGAAGCAGTCGGCGAAGACAGGATTTCAGGTGAACATGGAGAAGACGGAGGCGATGAAGAAGACCAGCCAACCAACCAACTAACCAACAACGACAACAACAACCAGCACCAATCACGATGAACGAGAGAAACATGAGAGCGGTCACTTCATTCACTTAACTAGGCAGCCAGCATTGTTTCAACCAGTCACACGACATGCATGAATATGTCAAAGTCGCCAGCCAGCCAGTCACCCAGAATCGGAAAGGCATGATGCTACACCTTCATCAATTTGAAATCAGTTTGCAAATCTGCACTCACCACTCAGCCAGCATAAACAACAAGATTTGGTTTTTCAACACAAATATCAATGAAGTCAGTTCTTCTCTATGGGTGAGAAACGTGCACTGCGCGTGTGTCACGAAAAGCATTTCGAACAGGCTACTGTAGACTCCCATCAGCAGCTACCACATTCAGTGGCTCCATATGGAAGATCAAGTTGCTGGCCAGCCTGCCGACCAGAAATAATTAGTAACAAGAAACTATTAAAACACACTTAACCAAGAAGCCGTCGTTCAACAAATATGTAGGCGAGAATAGAGATGGATAGGGTAATAAGTGAGGCGGCTGTCGTATTACATTACGTGCAATGCAGGGCCTTGCTCGGGGAGAGCCTATTCCATAATCATATCAAGTGGTAGGAATAAAACCCTGATTAGGTATTGGGGTTTACTTGTGAAATATAACTTTCACGGGATCAATATTATATTAAATTAATTAGAAAGGCCGAAATATAAAAAGAGGCAGCGGTAATGGTAATATCCTGTCAACAACAAATATGATTGAAAGACAAGACCGAAATTCATCAGGCAGAGAGAAGTCATTCGCAGTGAAACAAAAATAAATGGACTCCGTAAAAAACCAGGATAAAACAGTAACAAAGAAAAGCTGGATGAGGCTCAGAATTTCTGAGAACAGCGATAACCAAAGACGGCGAAAAAATTAAAATCAAAACTAAAATATAAATAAAAGCCAAATAAAAAATCCAACGAAATGTCAATGAAAAATCACTCGACACCTGCCAGTCAGTGTATGCATTGTATGCTTTGTTCACATTCCACATTCACACTGATGGCAAACCAAGAAGGCAAGGAAGGAAGGAAAGTGAGTAGGCTAGTGAAGTGAGCTGCAGCCAGCTATATTTGACTCTTCTAGTCTCTCTACACGCAAACAACCAACAAACATACTGTCTATGTCTACTAGCCACTCACCAAGCCAGTTAAACACCTTTCAGCTGATGGTCAATCTTCATTCCCCACATGAAATCTTCCTATCATGCACATTCATCGTCTTCATCCACTCCACAACATCTTTGTATTTACAGTCAACTCACCACATTGGTCACAGAAATACTACTTACTTCGTAAGCCTATAACTAATCTGTTATTCTAAGTAAAAACTCAATCTATCTATCACATAACCTGCTGTCATCGTTACCGTATAACAAAAGAAACCTGAATGGAATGTTTTGAAAAGAATATTCTGTGTTCAGACTCTCGTCTAACACAAGAATAAATTATTACAGTACAGTGAAGAAGTTTTGATATGAAATTATACTGAAGTTTACCTCTTCTGTCTGGTTAATTAAGCCTAATTTGAAGAAAATTGTCTACATTCTTTAATAAAGTTCAATTTCATAGTAGTGATAATCACGCCATGATTACGTGAACAAAAGAAAGAAGAATGGTGTTTGTGAATCGTTCGATTTGTCGTGATCTTTTGTTTTCTGAAGAGAATTTCGATAATATATTGTAGTGTGAATACATGTGATTCCAGGGGGCATTGCTTTATTTCTACTGCTTTACTGTTAATATAGAACCATTCCTACGAATTCTCTAGTTCTAATCTCTACAATATACATTGGTCGTTCGCTCGATGGTGTCATCATATTATCTTAGCTGCTCATACTCAGAATTATGGCTAGTCAAACTGTCTTCGTTCTTAAGTGATATGCTGTGAAGATCCGTGCATATGAATAGAATGA